TTAAGATCTGAGGATCAACACTACTCCCATGGAAGAAAGCTTGACAAAGAAAAAGAAATGAAAAAGAGAGAAAGAAGAAAGCAGATCAGTAAAAACTGATCAGGAGAAAAGAAGTCTAAGAAAAGGAAAAGGGGAAAGGGAAAAGAGGAAGATGGAAGAAAACAGAAAAAGAAAAGTTATGAAAAAGACAGAAAGAATGGTGATGGGGGTGGAGAAACGAAGAAAACGGATTCACAAAAGGGTGTGAAGGTGACCGTGAAAGAAAAGAGGGAAGAACTGGAGAAGGAATAATGGGAGGGGAAAAGAAAGTTTTGAAGGGGAGATGGAGGAGGTGATAAACGAAGGGGGAGTGTTGATCTAGAGAAGGTTAATGGTGGAAGGCAGAAATTCGAGATTTCCACCATACACCTTCTCTACTACCGAGATTTTCACCATACACCTTGAATTTCTTTTCTTCCCACAGAGCTGTTTCCAAAGCTGTCTAGGAGGGTAAAGAAAAAGAACTCCATTAAAGAGATCTTCTTGGGTGAATTTCTCGTGTAGTATGTTTGAAGAACTTGCGTAATGAGAAATTTTGTTGTGATGGAAATTTGATATGGAAAAACTCACTTAAATAGATGGAGTAGTAGAGAGGGTGGTTCAAAGAGTTCATTTAAGTGGGTGGTTGGAACGGTGAATTTTGAAATGTTGAATGGCTTTATCAGTTACCAAATTCCAAAACCACTTTCATATGTAACGAATTCAGCTGGGTTGGGCTTTCCAAGGAAATAACTGATTGGTTTTGGCTAAGGCCATACGAATGACCGAAAAAATCTATGCACTAAAGGGAAATTATACCTATCGGGTTCTCTAGTCCAAAAATAAAATATATCATTTTTCATTCCCTAAAGTTCTAAGTTCTAAGTAGGACGAGGTAGTACCAAGAATATGAAATTCATTTTTACTAATATTTTTAAAATGATACTAATTTTCCAAAGTCCTATACAGTTAAAATATCTTAATGACCAATTCTTAGAGCCAAAAAGGGAGGAAATGAACTAAGGAGTGAAACTCAACTCAAGAAGCCAGATATTGTAGAATACTTGAACCGGAGGTCTCCAACTCTAGACTAAAAAACAAGATATCCGACTTCCATGCTTAGAGTTCCACCAGTAGTTCAAAACAATAAGCCAAAAGCAGTTAATCATATTCCCCCTGAATTATATTCCCCAAGATTTATGCATAAATATTTTTCCAGAATAAATCTCCAGGAAAGTTAAGCAGAAATGTAAGAGATTTAAACAATGATTTTAAACTTGAGGGTGTTTTCATTAAAACAATAAGTGTATTCAGAAAACTCCCCCCTATTTTAATGGAATAAACCTTCAGGTTCTTATGCGCTTTAATAGTCTGGAGGATGAGGCAACTTCTCCCTATCCTTGAATTATTCCACATTCAGCTCTTATCCGCTTCCAGTTTTCAATTCATTCTTCTTGATGTCCTTCATGTGTGAAGTGTGAGGCCTCCATTACTAGAGCCTCTGTGCCATCAAGTTGATTTGAGCTCAGATGATGTGATGAGAGCTCTGGATTGCTTTGCTGAGCATCAAGAAGTGTATTGCTTAACCGTAGATGGGTAGGGATATAGCTTGCTTCTCCTTGTGTGATTTAGATAGGTTGCCTTGGATTTTCCGGAAGTCTAGTCTCCCGTAGAGTTATATAAAGAGTGTGTCTGCCAGTGAATCTGGTCATACTCTTGAATAGCTGGAAGACTTCCTTCTGATTTGCTGCTATGACTTTGAGATAGTCCTGTGTGACACACTAGTTTGTTGAAGAAATGGCCAGGGCAGATCTAATGTCCATTTGGAGAAAACTCATCTGCTTTTGAAGGCTTTTTGTCATAGCTGCCAGTTGTTCCTTGATTTCCACAACTTCTTTGTGTTGAAGATGGGAGTCGGAGGAGTAGGTCAGCGGCAAATTGCTTATGGAGGAACTCATTTGAGCTATGATCTCAAGAGTTTTATCCTAGGAGTTCCTTAGCTCTTGAAGACTAGATCTGTGCCTTTCTTCAGTTTTGTCCAACATCTCTTGGAATGATATCCTTTGAGCACCCAAGTAATTGTCAATCATCTCTTGGACTCTTCTGGCCCATTGCTGAGGCATGTCATCCAGAAGAGATGATTCTGTGGTGGAGCAGTGGAAATTGAAGTGTGTTGCCTGGTTGGTGGGAAGAAGACTGCTAATGTGGAAGTGTTGCAGCTGGAGAGAGTTAGCCTCATTATAAGCCTTAGAATCTTCCCCATCAACCTTTTCTGTTCTCATTGATGCTCCATTAATCAGTCCTTCTTTACTTCCAGCATTGGCCTCAGGATCTCAGTCATCTTCATCCTTGTATTGAGAGATTTCTAAGGAAAGATAATCTCTCATAGGCTCTTGTTCACGATTGTTGGAGGTGGAGGGTACCTCACTTGCTACATTGACAGGGTTTTCAGCAAGGATATCCTAGTTGGATTCCTCGGCATTTTCTAATTGAGTTGGATTTTGAGGTTCAACGTCATCTTCAAACTCGGCCGTGTTTCTTTGTGTCTTTACCTCAGGGAAGATATCATTTCCTTGAGTATCCTCTTGAACCTAATCAACAAGTTCTTGAGTGATAAACACATGTTCTTGAGATTTTTGAGAGTTTGTCTCATGGTCAATGACATTCTCTTCCTCAGCATTTTATTGAACTTCTTCTGCTACACCAGATTCTCCATGAATCTGTTCTTCAATATTTTCCAATGTAGAAGGTTTCCTAGCTTTTTCCTGAATTTCTTCTTCAATAAGAGGGTTCTCTGCTTCTCCTTGAGAACTTTCTGCTATGTCTCTTTGAACATCTTCTGGTGTAGGAGATTTCTATGGATCTTCTTGAAGCTCCTCTATTGCATAAGATCCATTAGCTTCTTCTTGAATCTTTCTTAATTGTGAGATTCTTCAGCTTCCCTTTGAAGAGGGGATTCCTCATTTCCTTGAATACCTTCTGGTGCAGGAGGTTCCTCAGCTGATATTTGGAGTTGGTTCCCAAAAGCTGTTGGTTCCTTTGTGTTTGGAACCTCATCCTCTGTCTGCTCAGGCCAAGGGTTTGGTGAGGATGACAGGTGCTCCAAAAACAAGCTCTAAATGATTCTTCTGCTCATCCAGTCTTCATCAAGAATCTGTTCAGAGGAGCAGTTTGTTGGCATCCCATGACATCTCTTTAGGACCTTCTCATTCTTCACTTGAGACCAGTCCTGTAGTTGGTCTTCAGAAATGCCTACCTTCTAATGTCTCCATTCAGTGTATAATTCAAGGAACTTGTTCATCTGTGTTGGAACACGGGTTTACGCCTATGTCGTACTAAACCGTGTTCGTTTTATGACAGGTTTTGATAATGCCAAACTGCCGTGATAGCAAGATTAAACTGAGCAAAACCAAGGCAAAGGAACATGGCATGATGAACTGAGAACCAAGAACCAAGAATCAAGAACGAAGACTTAGAATTGTATTGAGTCGGTCTTAATGTGATCAAAACCGGCACAAACTTTCAAAACTTGGCTCTCTAGGCTCATATCATCAAAATACTTTTTGCATATTCAAAAATGTTCTTCTTAAGTTTTAAACATGCCTAAAAACACTTGGAGTTCGCCTAAACCAAAAACCAAGCCATCCGGCGTTCGGGTTTCGGAAACCGGCGTTCGGCTTTCGGTCATCGGTGTTGTTTTTTGGCGTCCGAACCAACCAAGTGGTTTTGAACTTTTAATGATTGGTTTTTACTTCTGGGCATATTTAAATAGTTCTCCAACAAAAACGCTTCAAAAACCACCTTTCGTTTTTGGTCGTTTAGTGAAAACCATGCAAAACGGCGTAAACTTGGCTAGCCGTGGTTTTCAACTAAATGACGTGGTTTTCAAGATGTTTTACTTGATTTGTTCTCAAAATGCATTAAAAAAATGTTTTCAATACTTGGTTTTTGTTTTGGAGAACGTACATTTTTGTCATCGGCTAACGGCATGACTAAACCAACCATGGGTCTGGGTAAACCAGCCCAACAGCGCTGTCTGGCATGGGAAGCTGAAAACCATGGTTTGGCGTTAAGTCTTCCAACAACGATGTTGGATGTTAGACATCTCTGTTGAGCCAAGGTTGGGTTACTAGAAACATCTGGAACAGCGATGTAGACTACCCTACATCGCTGTCCAACCTAAGCCAAAAAGAAATGCTTCTAGCAGAATGTTTTTGGACAGCGATGTTGACCCAGCAACAGCGCTGTCAGGACAAACTTTCCACCTTCACAGTCAGACCTAAACAGCGATGTTCAAGTAATGAACATCGATGTAGGGACCTAACCGTTAGAAGGAATTTAAGGCTAAAACTTTCCTTGTTTGGAAGTCAACAGCCAAAACAGCGATGTAGGGGTATTGGACATCGCTGTTTGCATGACCGTTGCTTCCAATTTTTCCTAACCCAAGCCTAGAACAGCGATGTCCAAGCCTAGGACAGCGCTGTCTAGCTGATTTTCAGCAGATCCAATTTCAATCAAATCCCACAAATCAAGCCAATCACCCCTTAAATGTTTTGACCCGTTGGAGCCTATTTTGGCACTATAAAATGGGGTGTTTGGGTCTGTTTTACACATCACATTACTTCACAACTTCTACTCTTTCATTACAAATCATTCATCCTTTACTTCACAAGCTTGTGTTGTGTTCTTGAGCATTCTTAGTTACTCATTATCCACTCTAAAAGAGAGCATTGTTCTTGAGTGTTTTTAGCGTTCTTAGACACTTGACAAGAGAAAATATTTCTCTTGTTGTTCGAAGGAAGGGTTGTTTCCTTCGAAAGTTCGTTGAGGTTTGTGTGACTCGAACTCTCAAGTTGTACGGGTTTGTTAAGCACCGTTAAGCTTGACGAGATAGTAGTGTAGCTCGAGAGAGTCTCTCGGGAGGCTAGACTAGCCACAAGTTGTGGTGAACCAGGGTAAAAATGGTGTGCCTCTTCCTTGCTCTTTACTTTACGCTTTTAATTTTTATTCGTGCGTCGTTTTTCGTTTCAAACGCTATTCACCCCCCTCTAGCGTTGGGACATTTTTCTAACAATCTTTGCATCAAAATCTGACTGTGATGAAAGGGATGAAGATCTTTGTTCATCTAACTGTTCATGAAGCTATTCATCAAGCTCTTCTTGAACTAAGAGATTTTCCTGGATTTGGACTTGCTGTAGGTCCTCCGGTTCTTCAGCATCTTCAGATTCAGAAGAGTTAGAGGTCTTCTGCTTCTTCTTCGAGATCTTCTTGAGGGCAGTTGTTAGAACCTCATTTGAAGAGGCAGCTTCTTCATGGGCTGAGCAAGATTTGCTTTCTCCCTTGCTTCCCATATAAAACATCCAAGACCTTTCTTGGTAATCTTTATGAGACTTAGCCACTTGTAGGAACTCTAACATATAACCTATGTAGAGTCCTTGACAGAGAAATTTCTGTCGTGGTTGGCCCACATGCTTTGAAATTGAGTTGAAGAAATGCTTCGCCCAATTTACTTGGGTTTTGTTGAGGAAGGCATTAAGTAGAAATGCCCTTTCTTGAGTAATGCCATCAACGTGACCTCCACTGCCATATTCCAAACAGCTGGTGATCATGTCCAGCAGGAGTTTGTAATCATTCTTCAGATGACCTTTCTTCACTTGGGAAGAGGGAGCTTCTCCGGAAATCCGAATTTCACTCCAGTTTAGAAGTCTCGGAGAGAGTCGCTCCACATCAATTCCTGACTATGGCAATTTCAGTAGCTTTCTCAGACGCTTCTCTAAGATTTTGACCTTCTTGCCTTCAATGGTGGTGTGGATCATCAGCGTAGCTTTTTCAGACTCTGATCTTTGAATTTCTCCATTGATATAGAATTCTAGAAAGTCTTTCTCATATTTGGATTGAATTTTGAGGTTGAAAAATTTAGACAGCCCTTGTGCATTGATCATAGCGAGAAGGTCTTCAAAGAATTTCGGTGAAGAACACTTCGTCCTCAACCTTTCAAAATAAATGTTTGCTCCTCTAATCTTCATTTTGAATTGCGAGATGGAAATTTCAGAGAATGGGAGAAAATTAGGATTCTTGCTGAAATTTGCTTGAGAAAGACGACGGAGATGGCGCTTCTATGTTGAGTGGGCAGTTGAGAAGGTGGCGATTGAGTCTTGATTTGGGTGGCTTTACGGCTGGTGTCGATTTCATTCACACCGTTTCCAAAGCCACGCGCCCACGCGACCCTTATCAGAGTTGGTGCGTATGATGCCACGTGTCCCACACTTAGTCTAATAGAATTAGACCAATTTTGTGAAGTAGTGCAGAGAATCTTGCTTTACTTAGCGGTTTTGTGAAGATATCCGCCAATTGCTCTTCAGTTGAGATATACTCAATTTTGATATCTTTCTTCTCAACATGATCTCTGATGAAGTGGTGCTTGACATCAATGTGCTTAGTGCGAGAATGATGCACCGGATTTTGTGAAATTGCTATAGCACTTTGATTGTCACAAAATATTGTCACCTCTTTCGTCTTGATTCCATAGTCTAGTAATTGTTGCTTCAACCATAAAATTTGAGCACAACAACTACCGGCAGCAATGTATTCTACTTCAGCTACTGATGTGGAGATGGAATTTTGTTTCTTACTTAACCAAGAAACAAGATTCCCTCCAATGAATTGACAAGTGCCAGATGTAATCTTCCGGTCAACTTTGCATCCGGCAAAGTTAGAATTTGAGTATCCATTTAACTCAAATGAATTGCTCTTAGAATACCATAAACCCATGTTTTGAGTTCCTTTGAGGTATCTAAGAATCCTTTTGGCTGCAATTAGGTGACTTTCCTTTGGCTTTGATTGAAATCTAGCACGGACACCTACTACATAGGATATATCCGGATGGCTAGCAATAAGATAGAGTAGAGATCCGACTATTCCACTGTGCTCATGGGTATGGAAACAGATGACTTTTGATCAACCTTGAACTTTTAGATGAGATCCTTTGTAGTTGAGTTGATAAGAGTACCTTCACTTCTCTGTTTGATTTGAAAACCAAAGAAGTAGTTTAGTTCTCCCATCATGTTCATCTCAAATTTTCCATGCATGAGGGTTGAGAACTTGGTGCACAGAGCTTCCTTAGTTGACCTAAATATGATGTCATCCACATAGATTTGTACCAGAAGAAGATCTTCACCGTCTTGAAGTTTGAACAAGGTTTTGTCAATCACTCATTTGATGAATCCATTGTCTATTAGAAATTGAGACAATGTATCATACCAAGCTGTTGGAGCATGTTTGAGCTCATACAACACCTTTTTGAGTCTATACACTTGATCACCTTTAGTGTGTAACTCAAATCCGGGAGGTTGTTCCACATACCCTTCTTCCTCCAGGTTTCCATTGAGAAAAGCGCTTTTAACGTCCATTTGATAGACCTTGAAGTCCTTGTGAGCAGCAAAGGCTAAGAATATCCTTATAGCTTCAAGCCTTACAACAAGAGCAAAAGTTTCATCAAAATCTATACCTTCTTCTTGACAGTATCCTTTGGCTACCAACCGGGCTTTGTTTCTTACAACAACGCCATTTTCGTCCATCTTGTTCCGGAAGACCCACTTTGTCCCAATGACATGTTGATGAGTAGGTCTTGGAACAAGTTTCCAGACATCATTTCTGGTGAATTCATGGAGCTCTTCTTGCATGACGTTGATCCAATCAGAATCAGCTAGAGCTTCTTCAATTCTCTTTAGTTCAACTTATGAGCTAAAGCATGAAAGCTTGGTTTTAAGATTTGGTTGAGTGCTCGGGGTGTGAACGCCTTATTGAATATCTCCAATGATTTGTTGTGGAGGATGATCCCTTAACTAACGAAGATTGTGTTGATTGGGATTGACTGGCTGATCTAGCTCTGCTTCTGGTTGAAGTATGGAGTTTGTTGGTACTTTCGGATGAGTAGGCACATGATCATCATTTCTAGAATTGTCTCCATGTGAGAGATCCGGAATTTCGGAAGGCTGGCATTCGTTGTACCATGATTTCTGGTAGGCTCAGCGCTGTCTGAGTCCAGACTTCTCTGAGAAGTCTTCAGTGGTAGACTTCCGAATGAAATAAACTATGTTTGCTTCATTTGATCTCCTTCATTGACTTCTTCATCCTTGTCTGAGAGATCCAGAACTTCATGATCATGTTTTGATGACTTGTCAGCTACATGTTTTTCATCAAAAACATGTAGATCATAGTTCTTTTATTGAAAATTCGGAATGCTTTGCTGACCAGAGACTATCCAAGGAAGATTGCTTCATCTGATTTTTCATCAAAAGTATTCAGATGGTTCTTCCTGTTGTTCAGCACAAAACACTTGCTCCCAAAAATATGGAAATATGATATATCTGGCCCAAAACCTTTTTGGTATGCATGCTTCAGCTAACATGTTTCTCACTGCTTCCTTTAGCATTTGGTTTCTTCGTTCAGCTACACCATTTTGCTGTGATGTTCTTGCTGCAGACATTTGATGAAGAATTCTGTTTTCTTCACAGAAGTGAATGATGATCTCATTCAGGAATTCTGTGCCTTTGTCAGATCTGATCTTCTGGATGGTCTGACTGGATTGGTTCAGAATCAGCTTCATGCAACTTGTGACCTTCCCTTGTGTTTCTTCTTGCTGTTGAGGAATATTTTCAAAGTGTACCTTGAATAATCATCAACTACTACTAAAACATATTTATTTCCACGTAGACTTATTGGCGTGACAGGGCCAAACAAGTCCATGTGAATGAGACTCAGTATCCTTGTAGTTGAGTGAGCTGGCTTTGCCTTGAAGCTTGACTTGACTTGCTTTCCTTTTTGACAAGCATCACAGATGCTTTCCTTCTTGTAGACAGCTTTTGGAAGTCCTTCTACTAACCCTTCTTTGGAAAATTTGTTGAGAGTTTTGAAGTTCAGATAACTCAACCCCTTGTTAGTACCACTTTTGCTGATTGGGCAAGCTTCCTTGAAATTCTCCCACATTACTTCATAGATGTTTCTGATTCTCTTCCCGGTCAGAATCACTTCATTTGTGGAGATGCTTTTGAGGGATATGTCCTTGCAGAACACTAATGAATAACCTTTGTCGCAGAATTGACTTATGCTTAGAAGGTTATAATTGAGACCTTCTACATAAGAAACTGCCTGAATGGTTAGGCCCTTGTAGACCAGATTTCCCAGCCCCTTTATGAGGCCGAAATCATTGCTTCCTCCAAAGATGACTCTTGGACCGTCATAGGGAACTAGATTGGTCAAAAGGCGCATCACCCGTCATGTGTCTTAAACAGCCATTGTCTAAGTACCAGACACCTGGGTACTTAGTGGCTTCCTGCATTAGGTAGATGAAGATTTTGGTACCAAAATCAGTTTGGCTCTAGAGTAGTTAACAGTGTGTGTCCCCAAATCATGTTTAAAATGGCAAGGAATATTTCTAGCCGCTTGGAAGTTGTTTGGGTTATAATTATAATTGCAAGCATAAAACTTCCTACGTGTAGGTGGTGCATTCACATGTTTCCTTCTAGCAAACTTGGGTCGATGGGACTTATAGTCTTGCTTAGATTGTGCATAGTGTGGCTTGTGATGGGTGTGAGCATACTTTGGTAGAACAAACAATTTCTGAGGTGGAGGATAATGATATTTTGGCATTACTCTCCACTCATTGTTTCTTGGAAAGCTTCTGTCTTCCCCATAATGAATATAGCCTCGTGTATATTGGGGGTTAGAAGGCTTTTTCCTGAAACTATTTCCTCTTTGAGGTTTGTCTTGTTTCTTATAGTGCTTAGGAGGGACAACCCCTTTAGGAATATCTTTTGGTTTTTCCTTCTCCTTCACGACCATTTCTTTTGGTTGTACCTAGAAGCTTATCTACTACTTCTTTGGCCTTAAGTATCCCTATTTCCTTGTTAAGGGATTTCACCTTTTCAGAGAGAGAATCATTTTCATCTTTGAGTCAAGAGTTCTCAATGAGTTGACTATCTTGACCTTCAGTCAATGTGAGATTCTCAGCCTTCAACAATTGGTTCTCTTCTTTCAAAGATGAGTGTTTGAAATTTATTTCCTCAAAGTCTTTCATCATCTTTTAGAATTTATCAAAAAGACTTTCAGATGTTAGTATGCTTTCATATGAAGATGAATAAGAGGGTTGTGAGGTTACCTCTTGACTGATGTCATTCTTGGCCATGAGGCAGAGTGTCTTCTTCTGACATGGTCCAACGGTCTTCTTGGTTGGATCCTTCAAGATTGTGTTCCATGCAGACGAGAGCCTCCTCATCTGAGCTTGAACTTGATGACTCCTCACTCTCAGCTGCCACCATTGCCTTCTTATTCTTCTTCTCGTTCCTTTCTCCTTCTCCGTACATCTCCACCTTGGGGTCGAACGTGCTGACTTCCAGTGTCCAAGCTTCCTGCAATTGTAACATAAATAAGATTTGGGGGGAGAGTTACTTACATGTAGCTTTCCCTTGGATGGCCTTCTCATGGAGTCAGTCTTTTTGAAAAACTTCTTGAACTTCCAGAACTACTTGACCATCATAGCAAATTCCTCTTCAAAGTTCTCCGTCTTAGAACTCGGCTGCCGGCTGGTGGAAGGAGTGTCATAGCCTTTCTGAAATGTTTCTTCACTAACCATGGCTCGACCATTTGTCACCAGGGCTATGGTGTAAGGAATGGCTTATCTTCCTTCTTCTTCTTCTCCAGCTCGTGCTCATACTTTCTCAGCTCATCTAGGAGTCCTTGAACGGTGTAGTTCTCTAGTTTTCTTCCTTCCTCCATTGTTGTGGCCTTGGTGTACCACTCGGCTGGAAGGAATCTGAGCAGTCTTACGTTCTTTTCTTTTCGAGAAAGAATGTGGTTAAGTGATGCAGGATCATTCAAGATCTTGTGGAATCTTTCATCCAAGAAGTCAAATGATTCCCTGGGAAGCATTCTGAAGTTCTTGAACTTCTCAAGAAGAACTTCGATCTTCTGCTTTCATAGATCCTCTGATCGTTCACATAACTTCCCAAGACCTTGCCATATTTCCATGGCGGTTTTGAGATGTTTGATCTTGGAGAAGGTAATGGGATAAAGTGTCTTGAAGATGGCCGCATTTGCAACGTTGTCCAAATTGTGGTTCTTGCAATCTCTATCATCCCATCTATCCTTGGGCTTGGGTATGTACTGGATTCTTGGGATTTCTCTCTAGGTTCTCCATTTGAATTTTCAATGGCCCTTTTTCAAGCACCATCCACATGGAGTCATGTAGAGCATAAATATGTGCTTCCATCATGATCTTCCAATCATCATAACCTAGAAGAAAATACTTGGGCAAATCATGATCCATATTGTTCACCGTTGTGATCGCTTCTCGTTAATCTAAGAGTAGATAGTGAGATGTTCTGATACCAATTTATGGTTCTTGAAGTGGTGAGATACAAAGTCTAGAGGGGGGTGAATAGACTTTGTTAGAAATTTAAAAACTTTTTCATTTCTTTTTGAAAACGTGAAAACGTTGTTAATCTAAAGTTCTTGAGAACTTAGATTAAGTGTGCGGAAGTTGGTGGATTGTTGGAGCAATAATTAATATGGATCAGTTAGTTTCACAGTTAATATAATCACAAAAATAAGTAGAGATAGAGAGAGACACGCAAACTTTAATGAGGTTCGAAGGTGGGGTAATCCTTCTACGTCCTCAGAACTCACTAGGTAATTGGTTGTTGATAATGAACCAATAATTACAATAGTGAATTCACGGTATATCTTCGCAAAGCAAATGTTGCTACTGCACTCGTGCTGGCTTTGTTGTTCCTTCAAAGGTCAAGTTTCTTTAACAACTGCAAGGTCCGAACAATGGGACTTGCAAGATCAATTTGTAAGAAAACTGATGTGCCCCGTTTTAATCAAGATATTTGATTAAAAATATATCCTTCAACTTGGTGTTGTACTTGAGCCAAGGAAACCTTCAAGTATTTTCACTTACAGCTCTTTGGAAGAAGGAGAAGTTTGCTTCTGGATAAGGAGTTTTGAATTCTCTCTTTATCAAGCTTTTGAGGATTTTTCACTCTTGGTTAACTATGATTGATGGTAGGTTGTTTTTTCTTCAATCCTCTGTAGGAGCTATATATTGGTGGTTGGCTGGTATAATCTATCCGTTGAAGGGAATAGATTAGCCTAACGTTTGCGGGCTTCAATTTGAATGAAGGTACGTGAGGATTGTCCATGAAAATTTTCTCTTGGACATAAGCTTTTGTTGAATATTGATTCTTTTGTCATGAAATTTGTCTTCTAGCTTTTGTTCGAGAATTCTGGACTGTAGCTCTTTAATTAGGGAGTCCATACTTTGTCTTATTGTCATTTGCTCTCGAATTAATTTGAATAATCCTTAGTCTAGCCGTTTGAAAATCAAAGAGTTCATTTTTCCTTAGTAACGGATAGAATTCCTTCAATCATGACTTAGATAAATTTTCTAAGTCCATTTTCTCACTTGATTGTCTGACAGTTTCGGTCCTTTGTGAAATCTGGCTCTTGGTTCTGACAGTTCCGAATAAGTCATGCTGAGACTTCCGGGTGAGAAAGTGTCTGACAAAGCAATCCGCGCTAGTCTTTCGATACATATATATATCCGGATTGCTAGCCTTCACACGGATGGTTGCGAGACTTCCGGGTAGAACTTGAGTCTTCCGGATTTTAGAATTCCGAAGTAATTGACTTCTCTGAGAATTCCTTTCTTGTCTCTGATATCTCCGAGCAAGAGTTCCGATTTCCACATCTTTGATTTTGATAAGCCTTCAAAACATGGATGCTCAAATCTCAAGATGAAATATCACAAGTTTTATTTGAAAACTTAAGAATTTGGTTTTAACAAGATTTCTAATGAAAAGAAAATTACATTGAATTATGGGGGAGACCTAGAGTCCCTATTAGGATCTACATACATCATCATCAAAATCTACAAAATTTTTCCCTTTGTAAATTACAAACTCAAAACATCATGCATAAATTTGGTAATCGATTCAATTGATTGGGTTCTGATTTAGATATATTCGATCCAGGTTTATTTTGGATATATGTTACTCCCTCCGTCTATAAAGGAACTTCTCATTTTTATTTTTTAGTAATACTTTTTAAACTTAGACCTTAAATTATGGAATAAGATACAATAAATTACTCCCTCCCCATTTAAATTGCATGTTTTCTTTTTTTGTCCGTCCCAAAATAAGTTGCTTGTTTCTTATAATAATAAACTTTTAAGGATAAAATACTTAAACTACTCCTAAAATAAGTGACTCCTCTCCACCTTATCTTCACATTCATCGCCACCCCTGTAAAAAAAATAAGGCATTTTTAAAAAGTCAACACCAATTTTTCCCTTCCTTAAATATGCCCCAAAGTCAAAACAAACAATTTTCTTATTATTGGGTTCGTTTGATTCAAAAATTGCAATTGGTTTCACCCCATGAAAATATTGTTTAAAGAAAAGTTTCCTTACCAAACAAGGAAAAATTTGGAGTGAAAATATTTTCCATTGGAACAAAACACACCGTAAAAAAAAGAAAAAATTGAGCTGGAGATTTTGGATTTGAAGACTACATAAAAATCCATCCGGTTTCTGCATGAGAACAGATTTGAAAATTCTGAACATAGTATTAAACCAAGACGTCCCACCCCATGTGAGAAGTGTTCGGGAGATCACACTGTACTGGGTATGTATGTTGCAAGTAAAATCAAGGAGGATGCAGTTGAAGGGAGAACATGAAAGAAAAAGGAGCTCTTGCTATGGGGGAAAAAACCTGTGGCAAAATAATACTATTTTCATAGAAATATTTTCTGTGTTTACAGTAATGCATTGATAATTTCTTTGCAGCATTGCATACTGAGTTTTAAGGACAAAAGAAAGGCTACTCGTCTCCGTAGATTGAGATGATAAAAGTGCTGAAAGAAACACACGTACGGAAGCTTCAAACCAATACATGCCACAAACGCCCCTCACTGCAACTATTTTCTGATCTATAGAATCAATCTACTTTCTGGACTTCTTGGATTTTCTGGACTTTGTTGATTTGATTTTCTCGAGTTTTGGTTCCTCTGTTTTGCTCTCTGGCCTGATATCAATAGTAAGAAAATTATTTGATTAATGAAAAGTAATACCAATGAACTATTGAAGAAGGCCCTTTCAACAGAGAGAGGGCTAAACATTATGTTGCAGGTGAGTTCCAAAATCCCAATTAGGCCGGTATTATCCAACTGATTTTGGAAGACAGATTATGTTTAACAATAATGGATTTAAAAATAAATAAATAAATATGAAAATAGGATCATGAGTTAAAAAGCACTCACGCAATATCCTGACCCAAAACTTTCAAAGCCTCTTTGATAGCATACAGTGTCATCTTCTTCACCTGTATATCAAGGTGAATATCAGGTTTAGCCAGACATCGTGGATGTCAACTCAAAAAACATTTCTTGCAAATAATAATAATGATAATGATGACGATGATGATCCAGCAAAGCTTAAGAGCAAAGCAAAGATCTACCAGTAATCTGAGGCGATTCAGTCTTTCAGGTGTGGATTCAATTCAAGTTTCAAATGTAAAGACCATCTTATTTCTGTTTCTATAAATACGTACTATTCCAAATTTTTTAAGTTTAATAATAATAATAATAATAATAATAATAATAATAATAATAATAATGACATTTAAATCAATCAATTAAACTTGATGCAGACTTGAAAGAATATTGAAATTACAATAACTAGTGGTTTTGTGTTCCCAGGTGAAATAATAAGACTATATTCTATAAATACTCTTGGTGAAATAATAAGACTATATATATATACTCTTTCTATCCCACATAAGTTTTTCCACGTGTGTAGTATTTTATTTGGTTCATGCATATCTAACATTGAGATAAAACTCAAGAATTAAATCTAAGGCCCGCATAGAATAGAGGCCCAAAATTTAGATCAGGGAAGTGCTTATATAATAAGCAAAGCAGGAAAAACAAAAAACCCCAAGCAAGCCGCCCCAGAAGGAGAGATAATTTTGGGAGATGATCGATTCTGTGACTCTTCTTCTCTCTCTTTTTTTTTTTACTTTTTCTTCTTTCGCACTTTTACCTCTTTCCTATTCAACTAGGTCGGACACTTTCTCTTCTTTCCGATTAAATCGTCTCCCTCATCGGTGTCGTCCAAGCCGATTTGGAAATGGGAGAAGCGTCTCCCATTTATTTAAATTTTAATTTAAAGAAACGCCACCTAGAGTCTCCGAGACGTCTCCCATGCGTTTCCGCGTGTCCGAGGTCTCCAATACGGGTACGGAAGGCTACCTCGCGTTTCCGTGCAACATAGATTATGACCAATGAAAATGGGAAAAGAAGCCATATACATAGAGGGAAATGCCATCATACCTCCAGTTTATCTTCCTTAGCCCGATGGTTTGGAGGGAGCAGGCGGAACTCCTCCGTCATTCGAATACACTCCCCAACATTCTCAGGTGAGACAAAATCAAGGGCAACTTTTATACAGGACTGCAAAAGGTTCAAACAATGAGATACTGAACAACCATGAACATTCATAAAAGTAGTTCAATTGAGTCTTACTGCTTTTGACTATAGCAAGAGTCAAATTGTAATTTAAAAAACATAGCGAGTAACAAGAAAACAAAGTTCTATTCCCATAATTGATTTATTCCAAGCAAATCAATCACACACATGCCTAAACATGCAACCCTAGTTATAGAGAAGGCACATATCAAATTATTTAAATCTGCAAACTTACTATGCTGCCAAGGCCCAAGGCCCAAGCTTTAGCACAATTATACAAGACAGGAACATATTGTCAATTTATTGCTGCTAAATTTGAATGTGCACCTAAGGTGTATAAGAAATATGGATCTTCTCACATAAGCAATAAAATATTACCCCCTCCGTCCCACAAAACATTTCCAGTTTGAAAAAAGGCAGGCTTTAAAAATGTGTAATTTTGGTGTTATTTTCTAATTTTTAATTTTCTATCCTGCACATCATATCCTACCATATTATAAAGGGAAAAATTAGAAAATAACACGAAAATTACACATTTTTAAAGCCCGTCTTTTTTCAACTCGGAAATGTTTGGTGGGACAGAGGGAGTATATGGTTAGAGTATTAATTTATTTTGTTATGACGGATGTAAGAAAGATAACAAACAATAAAGAAATGACAGGACAAAAACAAACAAATTTAACGTGGTTCACCAACAATATGTTGGTCGCGTCCTCATTATATCGATAGATAGGCTTTTAGGTTATAAAAAATTGGGTTTGGGTCGGGTCGGGGGATCGGGTAAATAATTTTGGGTTGAGTTTGGATTATTTTATTCTCGATTCGGATATTTTAGTAGTCGGTTGGGTCGGTTAAGATCGGGTTGCAGTTGAATTGCCATCCCTACTGCAAAGAGCATGCATCAAGGCACCTACCCCTCAAGGTGCGACATTAGTTCATCCATCACCACGCCAAAATCAAATGAACTAAGTGCAAACCCTTAATCCACCCCATTAAATTTCAATTGGAAAAGGGTATGAGTCTCTTCCCAACGTCCTCACATAGTGACCTGCTTCAAGGCGCGCAATAGATCTTTTTCCGGAAATTAACGCCATGGTGTGTATCCCGATTCACACAATTAGCCATTTTACGCAATTTGCTTAAAAGCTTACGCAATGGGGCGTAGGCACTAGTACGCGCAATGACTCTCTCTCTCTCCCTCTCTCCCTCTCTCCTCCCTCCCTCTCTCTCTCCCTCTCTCCCTCTCTCCTCCCTCCCTCTCTCTCTCCCTCTCTCTCTCTCTCTCTCTCTCTCTCTCTCTCTGAAATCAAGAAGTGACGGTGATGGAGGAAGGAGCATGGCAGATGGTGATTAATTTGAGGATAAGGGACCTGGTGTGGGTTGGGTTCTCGAGGAGGGCCCTAGGCTAGTGAAGATTGAGAAGAGGTTGACATGAGAACTCCAAATTGCAAAGGTTTATGTCAACCTTTAGTGACAATCTGCATGGGGCGATTTGTGGTTGACAAAGAGATTTTTGGTAGAGGGAATTAAAGAGCAATTAGAATCAGAGGGACAAATGGGGGTGAGGCTGTTGTTGCCAGGCAAACCAACGGCGACGACGCGGCAGAAGCGGAAAGTATTAGGTCGCAAAGAGCAAAGTTTTTTGTGGCTGCCAGCCATTGAGCACAAGAAGGTTATGGATATATTTGTTTGAGTAAAATTTTATTTAAACGAGAATAGTCGTTTGAGAAGAGTCGTCGTGTAAAACCAAAGGGATGTATTGGAAGAGTCATCGCCATTAATAACTATGGTATTATAGCATGGAGACAACATGAAAAGAATGACTTTATAGCAATTACTTGACTGGGAATTAAAACGGTGAAGGCAAGAACTAAAACGTAAATGGATATTATTGATTGCATACTGCTAGAATTACTATTATGTACATTACACTCCCACCATCCTGGAGTATTTGTCTAGTTTCTTTTTTGCACAATGATCATGATGAGGAGCATTAGAAGTAAAAATGTCACAACTACCACGTACCCCTGAACTACCCAACCTCCCCATCGTATCCCTCGGCAAGCCCAACCCAATCGCTCTTGCTACCCCCGACCCCCCCCTTCCCTTAGTTACATCCTTAAGCCGCCCAAACTCCCCAGCTGCATCCTTGAGCCACCCAACCTCACTAATCACGAGCCCATCCCAATGCTACAAAACACACAGGCACGCATGCACGCACACCCACACCCGCACACACACTCCCTCAGTGAGACGCATGTGGGCCCTCATGAAAGGAAAGCTGTGTATAAAGGAACCCCACGGCTTGAAATGCAGGTGAAGCGGAGGAGGGATTTGACAGGTAATCTTGACAGGATTGTAGTGATGAGTTGTTGAGGCAGCACCATTACTGGGTTATCATACTGGAACTAGAGTTGGAGAGCCTATTGCCACTAGCATTGATTTGCTGGTTTCAAATTTGAAGGGCATGATTAGTTTTCTATCTTAATTGTTTTTGCCTAAAAAAGAAAGTGGACAAATGCTCTAGGACGTCCAAAAAAATATTGTGCAAACATTTCGTGGCAGAGGGAGTAATATAAAACTTTGAAGCGGAGCGCAGGTGTTGATAAGAAAATGAAAACATGAACTAAAATAGCATGAACTAAAATAGATGTTTACCTTCAAATTTCGCACTTGATGTGGACACCCTGCAGGAATAAACACAGCATCTCCAAGTCCTTGAACAAATGTCCATGGTTCAATGCCTAAATATGCATAAATGATTGTCACTTGCATAGTAAAAAAAATATACACTGAGGATGTATTTAATTTCAGTTTTACTTAATTCAATACAAATACCACTTAGTTGAATACTTCTTTGTTCACAATTACACTACAATCAATTCAGTATCATTTAGTTCAGTTGATTTCCATTCAATTTCATTCAGCTCTATTGAACATTTCCATCAGTTTTCTTAGTTTAGAACAATTGCTAATGTGGCATGCATATCAGAGAGGCATTAAAGAACCAGTACAGTACCATATTCCCTTTTAAGTTTTCTTTTGTGCTCCGAACCCAAAAACATTGTCTGGTCATGAATTGGGTGGACAACCTGTATCGCCAAAAAATGTGTTTATGAGAAAAACGTATCCTTTATAAAAAGAATCTAACACAAAAATTGTACATAAGTAATAAGTTACAAACATAATACAAGCAGAAAACTAGAAAATGTTAACATTTTCCGCACCATTTATAAAGTGAGTTAAGTTAAAAAGTTCTCAGTGCATAGCCCTCTTCATAACAATGTACATTAATAGGGATGTGACTATGTGTTATGCCCTCCGTCCTACAACGTCCTTCCCATTTCCTTTTTTCCCCATCCTAAAATTATCTTCCCCCACACCAAAAAAAGGAGGTCTAATGACCACAATGCCGCTCAGCTTTAATTTTATGCCAACCACCCTTCAACTTCACATTTACGCCGCTAACCTTATCTCTTTGGCTCCTCTCTCTAAACCGAGATCTATGTCTGGCCTTCTCTTCGTCTCTCCTTCTCACCTTATCTCCATTTCTCCTTCTCACCCTCTCCATCTCTCTGTAAATTCCCTCTCCAGAGATCTAATCTTCATCGCCCCACCTTCATATGGATTCCGCCAATTTTCATTATGAATCTCAGATCTCGAGACTGAGCTTCAATTAAAAGGGATGAACTCTGAAGATCAGAGCTTTGAGGACAAACAGAGTGAAAGTGAGTCTGACGATGCAAACTCTGACTCTAGTCCTCTTCCATATGCCGGCATATTCATTGCTGACACTGAATATGAGGAAAGCAAGATGAAGGATGAGCCCATGCAAGGCTTTAGGAGTAAATTGGATGAAGAGCAGCTACATGGCCGTGAGGAGGGGCAGGCCACAATCTGCTTGCCTAGTGTTGAGATGGGCAGCCACTCCAATGTCACCGACGCAAGGGTTGGCATGGTCGAAGCGATTCCAGGCTTGCTTTCCTACCGGGATTTCAAAGTGAAGTCCCTCATTCTTTTTTCTCTACTCTGTGTTTTCATGAGTAATTGCAGACATTACACACAATTGTTAGAATATAAGAAATATATCCTGGGCCACTACCACAAGCTTGAGCTTTTAGTTGAGTTGGTTCCTTGGCATGGTATCGGAGCCTTGTTGACTAAAGAGGTCACGGGTTCGAAACTCAGTGGCACCCAATTTTAAAAAATTTAAGATTTCACGTTCAAGACTTGAAAAAACTATGCATGCACGTTAAGGGGCGTGTTAGAAAATAAAAAATATTTCCTGTGCCACAACCACAAGTTTGAGCTTTTAGTTGAGTTGCTTCCTTGACAACAGTTACAGCCTCAAGGAAGCTAAGCGAGGCAAAAACCCTAAGCCCCGCCTAAGGTGGTCGCCTTTCTCGCCTCAGGCGTTCACCTAGCTCGCCTTTCTCGCTTTTCTCGCCTCAATCACTGCCTTAAGGCTTTAGGATATACAATGCATAATATTTGCTGCTATATATTACTCCATTATACATACATATGTATATATATATATATATGTATATATATGTATATATATTATTCAAACACAAAGAACCAGGTAATACACGTTTAGGGGAGGACTAGACCAAAGCCCCCAAAGGTAAAACTACAAGCCATACAATACGCAAGCCAAATCTGATAGATCTTTAAAAAACAAATAAAGACTAAGGGTTTGTTTGGTGAGTTTTGAAGATATGATAAGGTATGAGCTTTAAAACCTGGAAGAAATGATATGGGCTTTAAAATCTGATTCAAAAGTGTTTGGTGAGAACAGGGCATTGAGTATGAATAGGAGCAAGACAATAGGAGCAAGACAGACCAGATCCGGGGGTGCTCTTGGAGGGAGTCATCGTCAAATTTTATGATTTAGAGCAGTAATGTATATCATTTGGTAGATTAAGAAATACACTTTAATCGGAAGAGTTTAGCTTGAGCTTTAATTAAAGTCTCTCATCAAATTAGATCCCGGAGACGAAGCCACCGCCACCACTGCTGCCGCCGTTCTTGGAGGCTGAGCCAACATCGCCGACACTACTAGAGACACGACCTCCACCGCCAAGGCTGAAGATAGGGCCGCCACCACTGCTGAAGACAGAGCTGCCGCCGTCGCCGCCGCTCTTGCTAGAGACAGGGCTATCCCGTTGCTCCATCAGAAGGGGACCTATTGTTGGAGGAGAAGATGATTGGACCTTGATGCGTGGAGACATGGCTTTCCCGTCTTCTTATCTCCTTCAATTTTGATATCGGCACCTTCCCGATTTTTGATATCGGTGGACTAAAGCAGATATGAAGAAGCGGCTAGTTAGGAGACTTTCAATATCTCCAGATTTGAAAGTTGAATTCCTTTTTTACTTCACCAAACACCAAATCTGGGAACTTGATATAGGAGATCAAAACCCATATCTCGCTTTTTCACCAAACACATCCTAAGAGAAACAAAGAAAAGAGTGGAAGGCAGGCATGGGATATATGCGAGAAATCAGCAGTGCGAGACCTCTCTAAACAAAAACAAACTAGCACTTAAGAGACAGTTCAAGCCATTGGTCCAGCAAAAATCCAGTTTCCAAGAGTTGAGGACAGCATCTTTGATCATCCAATGTTTTCCTCTACGAATGTAACTCAAATTGACCATATAGTAAAATAGATACATACATACATAAATACATACATACATATATACATATACACACACACACATATGCATGTATGTTCGCTATTTGACCGTCCGCCTCTCACCATAAAAAAGGTCCTCTCACCGGCCCTTAGCCACTCACCATTAATAACTATGGTTACAGCACAAACACAACAATGATAAATATGCAATTAGTTCAAGTAGTTCATTGGGGTATATAATGTGAGTGGTAGTCAATGAAAACTTATTGGAGTACATTTTGAGTAGTTGTCGTGATGTTCAAACAAAAAAGTCAAGGTCTTACATATTCTTCACCACTTACAACCTGCATTTACAAAATTCAAAACCCAAAAAATCAATTTACCCAATCATTCACAAAAAAACAAAAAGTCTTGGTGTTATGGTAAACACTTAATTCATCTCTGAAGATGAGAACTCTTCTCCATCTCTAGTCATGAACTCAGGCACCATTGCTGTTCACTTTGGCCACTGTCCTGACCAAGCACCCTTACTGTCTTCTCTAGCAATGTTTGGGGTACATCCAGACACAACGGTAGTGCTCCTTCTCTAGCCAACCTATCCTTTGCCATATGTGGTACCTTGTACATGTTCCCTCCCTCATCATTCATGACTTCCTGCATCACATATTGGTGACTTAACCATACGTTGTTCATTTTCTAAGTTGTAAGGGCAGCATATGCACCCCAAACTACTTCCACCAGCTGTAACACGTTTCTAGGAACACACTGCTCTTTGAGTGATTGAATGGCTCTAAACAAACCCATGTCTAGAATGTTGAGGTCTGGGAGTTGTGGGGTTGGTTACTTAGTGCTATGTTGAACCCATTTGCAATTGCTGCTACCATAAACTCTGGGTTTGTGCAGAAATTTGAGGCCTGGCATTATCTTGCTAGAGCACTATGTTTTTGCCTAAAAAAGAGGGTCATTTCTCTTAAATTGCAGGGATAACTTGGTTCACCAATATTTGTTTAGTCACTTCTTTTGTAACACGGAAACCGTACCTCTCACTTCTTACTCTTCCTTTTAGCTGCCACAGTTTCAACAAATGGGAATCTTCCAATTTTTCCATCCCATAAAACCCTCTTATTTTCTGATATAAATGGTCAACCAACAACACATAAGAACATGACCTTAGTAATGAATCGCTTTGACTTGCATGTTGTGTAGGGGGGTCCAATTTATCCTTGGCCAAATAATATTTATGTGATGTTTTTGACATAAAAAATCATTTCTCATCCATGTGAAGAACATTATGAAAACTTTTAAACCTGGGGTTGCGTAGAATGCTTGTGGGTTCTAACTGAGTAAAACAAAAGTGCAATCTTTGCAACATGCTTGTATCTGTTAAAAATGGTCTTTAATTGCATTCGAATAACTCCTTAGCAAACCTCTTTTAATACAAAGATGGACAATAGATGTGGACATACCAAGGGCAGCTGCAAAGGCTCTGATGTTTGTCCTTTGGGCTAGAGGAATGTTTGGGATGAACTCATTGTCTATGACCACTCTTTGAGTCTTTTCCATCCAGTGTGCACTGCAACTCTACTTTTGACATCAATAGCAACACCCCCATGTAATTGTTTTCTAGCTCTGCTCCATATGTCACCAATGGATTTTCGTAAAACATTAAACTCTGCAGCAACCTTGCTGATAATCCTTTTCTGAGCTGCGTACTCACCTGATATTTTGTTTAATGTGGTAGGATTACTTCAACAATTCTTTTTCTTTCTGAGTTTGAAAGCCTTTTGCTGCTTACTTAGTTTTGTCTTTGCAAATGCTCATGACTGCCTGGACGGGAAAAAGGAGGAGGCTGTGTGAGAGGAGGATCGGTGAGAAGAGGGGGATCAGTGAGAAGAGGAGGCATGTGTGATGAAGGAAAAAGGCTGCAGAAACATTTTCTTTAGGGAAATGTTTAGAACTACCCCTCCAGAATGCGATTTGCATCCTAATTCCTAATGTGTAAAATACTAAAATTCAGAAATTGGAATGCTTTATATCCAGGTACAATGAATCTGGAATAAATCTTTTGAGGTGTTTTGGCTTGCCAGAATTTTTGCATGTGAAATGCCTTAGTTTTCTTTTCAAAGATTTTAAGAAGGGCAAAATTGGAAGTCAAAGACAAAATAACCAATCCCTTAAAAATGGGTTTTAGTCAAACCGGGAAGATTGTTTTAGGACGGAGGGAGTATTAAAGAAAAAAGAAACTGTTATATTGTATTCAGTCTACTACAATAGCTATCGTTGTGTTTATGCACAAACCAATTATTTAGTTTTACCTACTACGTGCTTTGGTTGAAACATTGACATTTCAAATCAAAGAACGAACCAGAGACAATAGAGGGCAATGAGAATTATTGGAATATACCTGGGGCACTTGATTGCAATGTATGTGCCTGAATTCCTTAAAGTGCCTCTTAAGGTATTCCATTAGCTTAGGAACATCCTCCCGGCGGAAAATATCCCAGAGTGCACCACCCTCAGCTACTTGCAGCAACTTACTGTGAGAATATGCAGATGTTCCAGCATTACCAATGCTGCAACTTTCAACTACATTTGAATCATTACTGATTTTCTCGGATACCCCCAAAGATTCAGGCATAACTAACCCAGGATATTCATCAACGTTATCCTGTTGACATAGATGTGTTGTTTCAATACTAACATGTTTTTCACACACACTTTCACCACTAGACGAGCCACCATGCAAGTCATTTTCAACATTCCATATTTCTCTCTGGTCCTGCGCAAAGTGTTCTCGTTTCAAATTGTCAATTTCCCTCTGCTGATTAGGTGTTAGGGACACTTCAGCAATATGTGTCAGGATATTCACCTAAAACAGTAATATGAGAAAAGAATTGATAAGTGCACATACATTGACAAAATATAAACCCAAAGATTCAAAATGGGACATTTGGATATAGGGACAAAGAAGAATATTTAACCTTAATATCCTTTATAAGAGATCTAAAATATTAGGGGAATGATGATGCACTATATATACCAACACATACATTTACTAGCAGCGTCTGACAACCTCATCTCAGCAGTATTGGTTGAGCCTTCAGAGTTGCACAAGCCCGGTAACCTGATTAGGGCAGCCACTGCCTTATTCCGAAAGAACAAAGAGGAGCTTGCATGCATGGCGGTCTTACTACCTATTTCGCAGACCATCATCATCATTCAATCCGAGAAGGAAAAGCATCACGACAGGGAAGGTGGCCCATAGGCAGCTTTTCTTGAAAGGGAAGAACTACCTTGGTGCAGATTTTTGGTCATTCAATCCGAGAAGGACCAATTTTTTAAGACAGCTTAGACCCTTACATTTGCGTATCTAGTGGCAGTTGATTAGAGTTAAAAGCCCATCTATACTTTCTAACCTGTGTTGCTGCTGAGTGCCATAACACTTTCTCTAATCATTATAAGCATAATTTTGTACATTATATGCTTGAATCTCCCTAGGGGCTACAGGTGCTTACATGTACTTCGATAAGCTTCTTCCACGTGGAAAATTGGAAAACAAACGAAAGATATTGCTTTTAAATCTTGTTCTCTTCATCTGATTTGATTTTATTAAGTTCTTATCTAATCTGGTTTGGTTTGGGTTAATTGTAGTTATATTTAAAGTTATTTCTGGTCTGGTCTAATCCGATTCCAATAAGAATAAGTAATAAGAATAAGTTGAAAAATAACAAGCTCTTAACAACTACCCAAGGTAACGAAGAAGCAGGTTATCGTTACGTCTCCCAGATGGTGGACCGCTTAAAGTCAATGTGGTGGTGGTTGGACATCCTTACGTCTCCCAGATGTTCTAATTGCAATTTTCTTTGAATTCCTTTTGTTTCTTCTCCCTGTGTACTACAAGCTTGTTTTTACTTGTAGCGCTTGTTTTTCTTAGTAGCGGGGCATTGGCCTAGTCCTCCCCGTCCTTTGTATTTCTTGGTTTTTTATTAAATTTATCTTTTCTTTTTTAAAAAAACATAATAATGTGACATAATAATGTGGAGTAATAATGACTAATAATAACCAAGCAGAATTATTGCAGAGTATTCAACAGATGCTACAATGGTAATAGAGTTATTAGTGCTCAAACAAAAGGATACAAAAAAATATGGTCAAACGGGAGCCTAATCTTGTGACAACCGATAAATCCAAACATCTCATAACTTGCAGCCCCAAGAGGAAAATATACAAAGAACACAATTTTGAGCATACACAAAACTGAGAATGGGTCCAGGTGATGATCTATTGTCCAACAATGTGCTTACAAAAAAGTTTTGCTATAATGTATGATTTCGTGATTTAAAGCACAGAAAATACAATAAATTCATTGACGAAAAACAAAAGGTCCAAACACAGGTTTGCATGCAAACCAGAATTAACAAGTATAACATTGGACAAAACACATAACATGTAGTCATGTGACTCATGTACTATGTATGCTAATATAGATATAACAATGTATAATCAAATGATGAGACAATCATTCATACTCGGTATTATATACGTAAAATCAAACTTTGTCAAAGAACACATCCAATATGGAAAACTATGAAACCAACGCATTCTTTTTTCTCAATGGTTGAAGAAAACAACTAACAGAATTCAGTGCTCCTCCAGGTTGTGGTAACATTTTTTCCAGAGGTTGAATAATTACAAAAGAGCAGCATATATCAGACAATCATAAACAACAATAAAAGGAACAGATGCATTTGGGTATGTGATATTATGATAAAACCAATAATGAATCATTCAATTCTAAAATAAAAATGTAAGAACAAAAAAAAATTGCCAAGGAGCTGGAAATTGACAATATCCAAAACTCCAAATCAACTAAACAAAGTAGAAGAACAACATTTTTGAGGTGGCAATCCATTTATATTTTATGCATGTGACTATGCTCCATATTTTTGGGAAGCACTTCACAACACTGATGGCACATATCAAAACATACTAGGCAATAAAGAAGGCCTTGAAACTAAAGTAGCCTCAAGAAAGAGAATATCAATACAATTAATGTTTTATGACTAATATAATTCCTCACAAAGTAGGATAAGAAGATAAGTGTATCATTGGTACGCTGTTTTATAATAAATGGTTTTGTCCACATCCCAAATCATGTATCTCATGGAGGCGATGGACTTCTGAGTCCCACTCTAGAGGGTGTTTGAGCATTGAATAATAACAATTTTTAAAATATATTACTTTCTCTAGAGGGTGTTTGAGCATTGAATAATTCGGGGGAAGTAGGGGAAGGGGTAGACCTAAGAAGAATTGGAAGGAGGTGATTAGGCAGGATTTAGGACTTCTCGACCAGACTGAGGATATGGCCCTAGATAGGAACCTTTGGAAAACTAGGATTAGATTAGCTGGATAGGAGCTCGGTGTTGTAGAGGTTGTTTTGTAGTGTGTTGTATTTGTTAGGAATCTTCTGCTATTGCTTGTACGTGTTGCTTGTACTTGGTACTTTATCTGTGTTATACTGTGTTCCCTTCCATATTTTTGTGCAGGTGGAGCCGGGGGTCTCTTGGAAACAGCCTCCCTACTTCCGAGTAGGGGCAAGGTCTGCGTACACACACCCTCCCCAGACCTACTGTTGTGGGATTCACCTGGGTTGTTGTTGTTGTTGTATCCCAATAAAAGATTCCACTTTTCCTTTTTAGATTTTTTTCAAAACGAATTCTTTTATAAGGAATTGTGTGTTTCGTAGAATTTTTCTCTTCTGCATAAATTTAAACCACACAAGTTCACCTTTCTCAAATAACTGTGCATGGTCAACTGTAGAACTTTTTTTAGACAAACGATGTACTCCGTATTAAGTTGCAGAAATAAAACAGATGACAGCATTGCATCATAGGTAGCAGCTAGAACAAACTAATATGAGATATTCAGGAAAGGCAAGTTACCGCATCAGACATGTCACAATGCAACTTGGTTACAGAATCTCCACGTCCAAGCTCTTGATTGATTCCATAAGCAATATATGTCTTTGGCCCCATGTCTGGCTTTAGACATTCCACAGGCAATTTAGTGGCAAGATTTAATGGTCCAAGTCTAGGATGTGTGTACTCCTTAAATGGTAAAGAATGAAGAAATTCAAGACCATGGCGTGGCAATCTTTCTTCAAATTGAGTAGACGGGGGCCAGTCTTTCAGTTTCAATATTTGAGGCCACATATATTCATCAAATCGGCCCTTTGTGTATCCAACAAAGAACTCATGGATATTAATGATTACCTGCATTTGAATAGAACTGTCTCATTAATAGCCTATTTAGCAATAGTAGATACAATTTGAACTAAAGAGTGAAAGAGTACACTCATGCCTTTTGGTGTGGGACTGTGGGTACTTTTTTATCAACAAAAAATTCAAGTTAAGAAGTATCTAAATTAATAGACAATGATTATAACGTAATAAACAGAACCTTCACATGTATTAATAATATGAACTCTATTAAACCGTATAGACAAAATGTACCAATTCTGACTTAATAAACAGAAAATCCCATGTAATAAATATGTGAACTCTATTATACAGCAATTCACAGTATATTGAAGGATTACTCCAGAAAAAAACAATAATTTCTTATTCATTATCCCACATGTTTATTAGGAAACAGGCAATAACAGGATAAAAACATAAGACTCTTTTCAGCAATAACAGAAAAAGGATTCGGTTGAAATTGATTTTATTGTTCCTTACGTCCTTTAAAATTTCTGATGCAAAAATTAAGCAAAGTTAACTGAGAAGGCTCCCAGAGGAGAAAGAGAAAATCTCCATGTTTTTTTGATATCCATTAAGTATCCATGCCTTACTAAGAAGGTCACAAAAACTGAGTTACAAACTACACAAACTCAAACACCTTCATCAATAGTAACTGACCTCACACCAATCCAGACATTCTATGGCTGGTACATCCAGATGCTTCCCATGCTTTAGATTGGCTATCTGGCGGAACGCACGCCACATAACAAGTGGCTCCCAGCTTAAGCCAGATCCAGTTTCAAGTGCATTTCTAACTATCACCGGCTCACCCTTCGCCCAGTGCAGCTGAAAATGCCTCAAATCCTCATGAAGAATATCTTTCGCCTTTGGGGAGTATAAATAGTTGTCATTTGAATCATTTCGAGAAGAAACTTTTACTGACTTCTCGCCATTTAAGTTTTGTTCACCCGTAGTAGTAAAACATGAACAGCATTGTCCTGCATTTGTTATAGTATCCCCAAGATCTAAAGATTCCACAACATCTTCAGCTTTTGTGAGCAGCTCTGACACCGAATAGCCTAATATAGACTTCAATTCAAGAATGCCTTTACCACAGTTGCAAAAGATGCTTTGATCTTCCATCACCCTCCAATTAGAAGGTGAACATACATTATCCATAGTCTCAGATGAAACTCTTTTTGGCCTTTTTTTTCCACCATGCAAATACTTAAAACCATTGTCAGCATACTCCACCACCACTTTCTCTGTACTTGCCATGAGTTTTCCATTGCGAAGTTCCCAACAACAGGTAAGGCAAAGATCAGAAAAACAGTGTGAGCAGCTCCGATGGAAATCGAAGATAGAGGTTCTGCAAATGTCACTGCAGATAGAAAGAAGATCGAGATGGTGGGAAGTATAAGTATCACCATCAAATATGTGGAAAAATAAAATTATAGAACTACCCCTACCAGTATACTCGCTCATCAGTGGCACATCCTGCATTCTCTACCAGCAAGTCTTCAAGTGGTAAACCTGTTTCCAAGAAAAAGACATGAAGAGTTTATTGTAGCAATGTAGTAGCAAGAATAAATGCTTTTGAACAACATGCTATTACATTAATATATATTTTCCAATTATATTGCACATTCTCTTTCACCTTTTGATAATGACAAAAAGGCCAAATCATTTGAGCATCAAGGCTAAGGACAAGATTGATTCAAGATCTTCAAGAGAGATTATTCCATCCATGAGGAAGGGATAATTGATAACGATTGAAAGATCAATACCGAAGACGTTGAAGACCTCCTGGTTGGGTAGTCTTTTAGATCATAGAGCATTTGTTAAAGGATATGGCATTTTGAGTATCCTTGGCGATTTTTCTTTGATCCCCAACCTTTTCTTGATGATCCTTCTTCATTTCAAGTGTTAAAAAATCAAGTTTTTGGTATGCATTTGAATGTTTGTCTTGAACATTGGAATATATGGCTATCTATTGCTCTTAACTGCTGAAAAACTACTCAACATTTGAATGTTGGGGCAATGGGACCTAAACATTCGAATGTTTACAATTTTCAGCAGTAATAAGTGGGTCTTCAACTGTTTTGACCCCTATAACTGTTCTTCTAGGCTCCCAACGTTCACTAAGCATTCCTATTATTATTTTGAGTATCTTGAATGCACTCATATAGAAAAAAACTTCATATATCCAAGCAAGTGATCATTGTTGATCATATCCCTTTCTTGCTTGAGTTTCATTCTATTGCTATTGCCACATCCTATAGGAAAATTATATTGCAGCACATCCGCTTTATTGGGAGAGTAATTGTCGCTGCGGTTTGTTTTCTTTCTTTTGAGAGAGGGTGTAAAGTATTGGTGTTGGGACTACGCCTAGTGGTTTGGGTAGAAATCCTATTTGTTTGTGAAATTAAAGTTTAGGTGAAAGAGATCTTGGTGTTCGGACTACGACAAGTAGTGAAATATTGCAACTTGTGTGATCAAGGCATAGGAGGTAGGGTAAGAGGCTTGTGTGACTCATGTTCTCTAAGGTTTGCCAAACACCGTTAAGTTTGGTGGGTTGGTTAGTGAAGGCTTGATGACTGGAAGTAGGCATTGCCGAACCTACATAAATTGTAGTGTTCTTTACTGCATCTTGGGCGTTTTATACATAAGGGAATTCGAGAAGACAAATCCCGCAAAAAACAATCAAAGTGGGTAACAACTCTATTCACCCCTGTGTGCAGTAAGTCTAACAAATTTGACTACATAAACAATAGGATAAGCCGCCATTGGATATTTCACATCAAGCAAAATAACTTTATGAACTATAGCGAAGAAAAACTACCATGTATTTTGGCCTCCACTTCCTTCTCTCTCATTTGTTCATCATTTATTTGCTTCAAATATGAAAGAAGTGCCTGCATTATATACTTGGAATATTGAACTTTTTCATCATCACTGACAGCTGGTTTTGGGTCATTCAGTCTCTACAAAATTAATGATAATTTAGTATACTTTTCTCTAGCAAATTAATCAAATCATGATGGCAGGAGATCTTACTTTGAGTGGGACATCTAACCGCAGGCATGCTTTACAATTGCAATTTTCACGACAAACTGGGCAGCATTCAGCAACTTCATCTTCTTTCATATGTGGATACCTGCATATCAAAAACATAACAATTACTTAAGAAAACAATAAAAGATCGAGCAGAATAGACATCTATAATGGGATAGACTTTTTTTATAACCAACAGCAAAACGAATTCAATTATTCTTCACATTCACAAGCACACACACACACATATATATAGGGAAATTGTAATGNATATCAAAACAAAAATCAATATAAAATACTCACCCCTGCCACTCTTTTTCCCCATGTTTACTCCTGCTAATTGTGTACCATGAGTCCATACCACAAGTGATATACTGTAATTTGTGTGACTCAAATCAACTCATACTTTACAAATTCAATATCATCACAAATTTCATTTGTCCAAAATTTGTTTGAAATGAGGGAGTAAAACAAAAAGCTGGTGCAATTGGGTAAACATACCAAGTGGTTAAACAAGGGATACAGTATCTCTTTCTTCTACATTTTTGGCAACGAACAACACGACCTTTATCATTCCTCTGGCATTGATGGCACATAACAGACTTCTCAGCAATCCACTGGAAACACAAAATTATAATTACAATCACGTAAGAAAGCCAGACATTCTTACAACAATTGACAAGAAAAAGGCAAAAGAAATTACTTCTGGATCATGCTTGTTAATCTTTCCTTGCATTTCTTGTTTTCGATGCCTGAGCCCATAATGTTCGTCTTCTACATCTTTGCAATCACTGTTCGAATGACCACGCATCTTTCTCCCTCCATTATGTGCATTTTTCTTGTCTTCCTTTGAGGGGGTTCCCTTTTTGTCACCTTCATCTGATTCACAATCCTTAGCTTCACTTATATTTCCTTCTTCCTCAATCTTTTTTGCTGCACCTTCATCATGTTTATTAGGTTCACCATCCACCAGGCCTTTGCTTTTTGAGGCCGTGGTTTTCGTCCTGGTCTTTGAACGTCTTTTTTTTCGAGAAACCCCTTCATCAAATTCTTCTTCGTCCCCAGACACGTCTATATAAGATACCTTAGAAGCAGCTCTACGTGTTCTCTTATGAGAGGCATCATTCTCTTTCACACTAGCAGAGTCGAGCTGGTTATCTTCATCAAGTATTTCCTCGTCTTTACTTGGCCCATCTTTTTCTTCTTTAACTTTGGGTTGAGTTGTCTGTTCATCGGTCGAATATTCAATTTCTTCTACTTCTTTTTTCACCGTGTTCTCTTTCTTCGATTTTGAGGGCGGATTGCTTAATTTTCTCTTTCCCATGTTAATCGAGTTCATCTTTCTTTGCGCTAGAGCAGGTTTCTCTTCTCGTTCCTTTACATCATCGTTAATGGAATCCTCGCCGGCCGCAATCTCCCCTGTGACGCCATAGGTTTCCGTCTCCGCTTCTCTCGGCCGTTTCATTGGATCCGCCATGCCAATCGAACGGTTAATCAACCGATTCGAGAGTGTAAAGACGATTTTTGTTTCACACAGCGAAGAAGTGAGTGAGTTTCATAATGAGCAACTCCGATGAGAGATAGAGAGACCGTCATTTATATTGATTCGTTAGGGTTATTTTGGCTGCTAATCCATATAATAAAGGAGACTCGGATGCATAGAAATTCGACATTCGGTATGTCTATGTGGCAAAATTTAAACATGTCAGCACGCCACGTAATATCCGAGTAAACCAGCGGAAATAAATTATATACAATGCACTAGCGGATCTCCTGTTGAAAACAATTGACCGCAGATTTTCTACGCGATAATCACTGGCCTTCAACGAAATTATTTCCTTCAGATTACAACAATACGAATTCCTATTATGATGATAATATGAAATAATTAAAAATAAATATGAAAAAATATAAATACTATTTAAAAAATAAATATAATATTTTTCATTTTAATTTAAATAGAATTTTAGGACCATGCTACATATATTAATCATATATCTTACTTCCATATTTAATAATTACATACTTAAATTAATAAGTTACAAAGGTTTATTGTGGAAATTTATGTATAATAAGAGTAAAAATCAATAGAGTACCTATAGTAATGGAAATTAGAGTATTATTTTTTACAAAAAAGATTATTAATAAACAATCCTAAATAATACTAAATTTGAAAATGATGATCACGAGTATATTACACATCACCTCACTTATATTATGTATGTTGGATAATACTAATATTATTTTGGATCCGTTGGATAATACTAATATTATTTTGGATCCGTTTACTTATATATGGAAATCTTTAATTATGTGTCTTGGATAATCAATAATATTATATGTTAATATATGTTTTCAGAATACAAGAATACGAACTCCTATTACAAGGATAATATAAACAATTAAAAATAAATACGAAAAAATATAAATATTATTTAGAAAATAAAAAAGAAATATAATAATTTTCATTTAACTTAAATAGAATTTTAGAAAGAAAACCCCTTAAATAGGAGTAAAACATATGTCTTATCATTATAATAAGAGCTCAAACTTAAACTCCCCTAAATAGGAGTATTTAAATAAGAAAACTATCTAGATAAAATTAAAACATAACTCCTCAAAATAGGAGCTCAAATTAAAATTCTCTAAATAAGACCTACATAATTAGAGTCTAAAGTAACCCACCACGCCTGATTCTCAAATAAGCTCTTTCTTATCCATTTTTATCCATTCACAGCCACTCTCTTCAACCCATTGCAGTATCTTTTGTATTTTAATACATCGTATATGGCCGGTCATTTGAAAGGGTGTTGAATTTAGTTTGTTTTAGGGGATGGGGTTGATTTTTTGGGATTTTTATAGGGATTCTATTCCTATCAATGTTATTTAGTTTTGTAATTGGCTAAGGAAACTGATGCTTTTTGTTATGACTTATGAGAGCATAATAACTCTGTGCTATTTTTCAAAGCAATTTGAAGAGAATTATGTAGGCTAATTTTTGAAGAGAATTGCTTTGGTACTTGCCTGGTCGTGCAAGGCATTAAGTCATATTTGGCATTATGCTTTTGTGTAACATTTATAAATTCACATTGTGACATTATATATGAGCATTTGAAGCATTATATATGGGCATTTGTGCCATTATATATTGTTATGTATGACACTATGTGGTGTCATGTTTGTCATTATGTCCTTTTTGGCATTGTATTGATATTTGATGGTTAATGTTACACTGCGACGACAACGATACATAATTGTGATGTTAATGTGGGCAAAAATGGTAGAGAGCGGTAGTGTTGATGGTGACGGTGATCGAAAAATCAACAACGGCAATGGAGGATTTTGACAGCAACGGCGGAGCATAGATGGCAGCGGCGGAGGAGACTTAAGTGATAATGGCAGAGACACAACGACTAGGGAGCAACGACATCAGGTTGTTTGCGATGAAGCAAGTTGCTGAATTGTGTTTTAGTTTCAGAACTATGACAAAGTTTCTTTTTTGGTTTGAGCAAGTTTCTTTTTTGGGTTGAGTTAATATTTGCATGTACTCTTTTGTTTTCTAATATTTGAGCTAATACGGTAGATGAGCAACATGAGTGGAGCGTGGGTACATTGATTGAATTACACAGATGAGTTGTGCACACATTAACTCCTATTTTGGGGATTTTATCTTTCTACTCCTGTTTTTGGATTTAATCAATCTTTTACTCCTATTTTGTTCCTTAACCCAATTTTAGAACCATGCTACATATATTAATCTTTTATCTTACTTCCATATTTATAAATTTCATACTTAAATTAATAAGTAACAAAGATTTATTAATGGAAATTCGTGTATATATAGGTTGAAATCAATAGAGTACCTATTCTAATAGAAATTCCAATACTATTTTTGATTCCTTACTTATTTGTCTTGCTTCAATGAGTATATATATTATTGATCACCTTACTTATATATGGTCATTAACAAAATTTACGGAAAATCTTATTAAGAAACAATCCTAAATAATACTCCCTTCGTCCCAAAAAGTTTGTTACGTTTAGAAAAAACTGCGTCCCATAAAGTCTGTTACATTTCTATTAAAAAACCACTTTTACGCGTTACTTTTTCATACCCTACCTATCACATCATACCTTTTTTCTAATAATCTACCCATCACATCCTACTTTTACCCATTACATCAAGGGTATTTTTGGAAAGTCAATACCAAAATATCTCTCCCTTAATTTTCCAAAAAGTCAAACCGTCCCATTCTTTTTGGGACGGAGGGAGTATTAAATTTGTAAATTATGATCACGAGTATATTATTCATCACCTTACTTATATTATGTATCTTGGATAATACTAATAATATTTTCGATCTCTTTACTTATATATGGCAATCCTTAATTATGTATCTTGGATAATCAATAATATTATATGTAAAAATATGTATTCAGATTACAACAATACGAACTGCAATTACGATGATAATATAAAAAATTAAAAATAAATATGAAGAAATATAAATACTATTTAAAAAATAAAAAATATATAATATTTTTAATTAATTTAAATATAATTTTAGGACCATGCTACATATATTAATCCTTTACCAAGGAATTCTCACCATAATAAAATCCTTCCTAAAATACAAAAGCTAAGTAAATAATTAAATGTGAAACTATCCTAATAAGGCCGTGCATTAGAAAATGATTCATGTATAGCCATGAATGGTATGATATGATTTCCAAGAATAGATTATTTTCTTAACATATGGTGATTGACAAAATTTACGAAAAATATTATTAAGAAATAATCCTAAATAGTACTAAATTTGATAATTATGATCACGAGTATATTAATCATCATCTTACTTATATTATGTATGTTGAATAATAGTAATATTATTTTAGGTCCCTTTACTTATATATGGCAATCGTTAATTATGTATCTTGGATAATCAATAATATTATTCTGGATTCGTTTATTTCTAGTAAGGAATTCGTTATATCTAGGATGAACCCAATATTATTTTGAATTCCTTACTTATATATCTAACCGGCAATAAGTTAAATAGCTTACTTTTATATCCAAATTTATGGAAACTATTATATACTTAGGTCAAAATCCTATTATAAAAGAGATATATAATGAGTTGAAATGTGACATCCACCACCCATTTTCATTTTCCATTTCAATGCATAGGCATTCAGAATTAATTATGCAATAAATAAGCGGAGAATCGTTAATTCAACGTCAGCCTTTTGTTTTTAAAATGATTGGTGATAGGAGCATCCTATTTTTCAATTTCAATTGGGGCTATGGAAAATCAAGTTGACGATACATAAACGAGATCAGCTTGAGATGCAAGAGAAAAGAGAAAAGAAATACTTCAACAAAAAAGGATAAAAAAGGTACGTACTTTAAATATTGTTTTATCTTAATATATTTAATTTTGATTTATCGTTTTAAGGTAATTTGAACTTAAATTTTTGAAGGTTTTACGATACATTTTTGAATTTTTTAAAACAACAAAATCAAACGGGATATTTTATTGACCAAAAGTTTTGTATTTAAAATTTCTGTGGTTGCTTTTTAATGAGCATTGAAAAATTTTCATATCTTCATATCTAAATTGTTAGTATAGATAAATTAATTTATGTTAAGTAAATAAAGTTTTATACAAAATTTAAAATTAGATGTCAATTTTAGAAGGATTTAACAAATTCTCCATGTGAAAATGAACACTCCAAGAAACGATAAAAATATGTGAACTTTTAAAAAAATAGTTTATACATATTGAATATTTTAAACAATTGAATGGACGAATATTAAAAAGTTGAGTAAAAATATATTCATATTTAAAACAATTTTTAGAAAACTCAAAACTTTGCAATAAATTTGATATGAAAGGGGTGAATATAAAAAAATGTGAGTACATATTTTAAAATAAAATGATATGCATGCGAGGAAAAAAAATTTAGGCATTGATACAGAATGATCAATGTAAATAATTCAAAGTTCAAATATAATTTTTAAATTGGAAAATTTACTTATATCTAACACGTAATTCATTTATCAAAATGACAACTAAGTTGTATTCAACTGAAATAATTGATACTCTATATATATATATATATATATATATATATATATATATATATATATATATATATATATATATTCATAGTCAGAGGAATTTACCTAAATAACACTAAAACATAATAACTTTCCCTAAATAGCAACATATGTTTTTTATTTCCCAATGTACCACTTTTAGTCTTTATCTATTAATCATTATTAAGATAAATGTTCACCGTCATAAGATATTATTTTTTCTTCTAGACATTATTAGGTGTTATTTAAGGGATAAAAAGTTTAAGTCTTATATTGGAAAATGACTTTTGTTTTAGTGCTATTTGGTGCAGATATGAAAAATGAAAAATTTGAAAAATTATATCGGAAAAAAGTTTGAAAAATGAAAAATGAAAAATTTGAAAAATGAAAAATGAAAAATTTGAAAAAGTTTAAGTCTTATATTGGGAAAGGACTTATGCTTGAGAATATGAAAAAATATTCCTTTTTGAGGATAGATCACTATTGGCACCAACTCTTGAAGTAGTTGAAATGATAAATATAATGAATTTGTTCTGTCCTTCATTTCTGGTGATGAAAAGAAGTATTTGAGTTCTGATTCTTCATGCCAAGCAGAAGCAGATGTAGGTGTTAATGGCGACTGGATAACAGTTGAGTTTTTGAACGATACCAAATGTTCGGGAATCCCAAACCACAAAATAGTCTTGAAAAAAGGGGTACCGATTATGCTATTGAGGAACATTGACCAAACATCTGGATTGTGCAATGGGACAAGATTAATCGTTCAAGAACTGCGAAATAATGTTATCGGTGCAATTGTGGTTTTGGGAAATCGAGTCGGGGAAAAAGTTTACATCACTAAAATGAATTTGGTACCATCTGATCCAGGGCTGCCCTTGAAGTTCCAAAGAAGACAATTCCCGATCGCCTCATGTTTTGCAAGGACTATATTTTGTTGTTTCACGAGTGAAGACAAAGACATAATTAAAAATATTAGTTCTAGATGACAATGGAAACCCTTGCAACCATACCAAAAATGTTGTATACCCTAAAGTCTTTCAGAAAATTTGGTATGAAAATAAACATTGTTAACTCTACATTCTCTTCCTCAAATATTATTTATTTTACTTTGGCATTTTTCATTTGTAGTATTAAAAATCATGTGAGCAATATATTTTCTTTATTCTGAAAAATAAATTTCATTATAATAATTTAGAATCGACATAAATTTCTTTCGACCCCGTGCATGGCACGGGTTAGAGTACTAGTTTTGGGATAAATTTCACTCCCATTTCCAACATCCTCCTGTTTACAACAGCAGCAAGAAAAGTTTCCAGCTCTTGTGCTATACGAAGACGACGTCGGTTTGGGTTTGCGTTTTAAAAACCGCAGCCCAAGTTGTAACCACCCACTAAAGCCCATCCTAAAGACGACATCGGTTCGGGTTTGCGTTTTAAAAGCCGCAGCCCAAGTTGTAACCACCCACTAAAGCCCATCCTAAAGACGACGTCGGTTCGGGTTTGCGTTTTAAAAACCGCAGCCCAAGTTGTAACCACCCACTAAAGCCCATCCTAAAGACGACGTCGGTTCGGGTTTGCGTTTTAAAAGCCGCAGCCCAAGGTGTAACCACCCACTAAAGCCCATCCTAAAGACGACGTCGGTTCGGGTTTGCGTTTGAAAAACCGTAGCCCAAGTTGTAACCACCCACTAAAGCCCATCCTACGGTAAGAATCAATCTGGTGTAGCGTTGCAAATGGCGATGGACGGAATAGATCGGAAGGAAGCAGAGAAGACCGAGAGAAGGGAGCAACTTGAGAAAGGAGAAGGTGGAGGTTGTCGTTGCGAGAGTACTGTTCATCACCTTCTTCAACTTTGACGAAGCGGCTAAAGTAAACCCGAATATCATCAATCTCTTCATACTTTTTTTAATAATTAAGGGTTCAATCCACCTGCTCTTATATATCTCCATATCAATTTCATGTTAATTTCATCAATTTAGCAATCTATTTTTGGTCTGTTAGGTATTTCATGATTTTAATCATAAATAGTATTGTTTTCTTAATTAGTACGGAGTATATTATTAAATGGAATCAAATAATCAAATTTGCAGGTTGAAACCCAAGATGCAGTAGAAATACATGGAAAAATTACTAAAAAAAGGTAACACACTTATGTTATTTCTATTTAGGAAGAAGGTAACACACTTTGTTATTTCTATTTAAATTTCTTTATATCTATAGTAGTATTTTAAGTTTTTTTATATTCATGGAGGCAGGCGTCCATGGCGACGAGGGTGGTAGGACGGATGGTCAGGGTTTCAAGCGATGACAATGCGGGGCGATTTGTGCTTTTAATCATCTTCCAAGGTATCGTCTACAATTTCGTGATTTATTTTCTAGAGCTGGGAGAGAGATTTTCACCCCAAAATTACAGAAGTTATTCACACAAAGGTCAAGGCAATTTGTAGTGTGTTTTCTGCCTTTTCTACTTTGTTTTAGTTTTGTTGTGTTGTTTTTCACCTTCTGTAAGTTTTCTTCAAGGTCTCAGGCTAATCCCGTCCCTTTTAATTTGTAAATTTGCACCATCAAATAGGAGTCACCACTTGTTCGATGAGATGTCTTAGTGAGTCATCTGAACTGAATTTCAACATGTTAGGTTGAACAAAAAACCATCGTAGCCCGTTTATGCTCCTCATATGTTTAGCGTATGACATTTCCTTCCATTTCAAGCACTCTCTTTCACAGTCTTGCCGACAATAAATAGTGGTGTCTTATTTGGTTGTTAACATGAAAACAGAACCATGATCATCAGGAGGGAACACCATATTGATGGGTAATATTCAAACCTCAATCTCTGTTATCAGAATAAAGCAGGGAAGGCATATGATCCTTGAAGTCACGTTCCAAAGAGACCACACATTAGTGTGTGGAAGGTTGGAGAGAATCACCCAGCCATGGAAACACCCCCGTACACACTTCTCGTGAAACAGAGGAATTCCCATATAAAAGCAAAAAATATGATTCTACTTCATCTGAAAGTGTCCATAACATTATTATTTTTCCACGCTTAATCAATGCAGATTAACTGTAGAACGCAATCAGCATGTAAACCAATAAATGATGCCTACGACCTCAAGTCCTCAACCAACGACCTCAAGTCCTCAACCTAGCAGACCTTTGTAATTTTTTTTATTTTGTTATATCGCTAAGTTTCCTAAGAATATAATATTTTCTAGGAATTTAACTTTTTTTAGAAGTTTTATGAAATGAATACGACCTTATAAAAGAATGGCTTTACGATCTTATATGGGGAGATGTATATGATTTCAGAAGACTTGAGCTACCTAGAGCCTTGATCCTCTAAAAATTTAAAGCCAGTACTCTTGAGAAGTTCTTTAATTTTTTAGGTTGCACACCTGCAAATTCTTATATTTGATTTGATTCACAGAGTTCATAAATGAAGGGAATACTACAAGGTTTTAATCATGGATTATCAGATTCATCGTCTGCATTTAAACTCTTTGTTTAGTCAGGTTTGCTTCTTGGAAAATATATTTCTAGATATTGTTTACACTATTTTGTTTGTTTTGGATTTTGGTTGTTCATTTGTGTGTTAGAATAATTTTTGTGCTAAGATGACAAATATGAAAATATGCCCTTACACATGTTATGATGGAAACTATTTCGACAGCAACAAAATATATTAGTGTTCATTTATAGTTCTATCTTTCTACGAAAACAATCTGTTGGGTCGTGTCATTTACAAGTACATCAGCTCTAAAGACTCTAAGCATTTTTTTAATTTTTGGACATTAGTTTTTGGAGGGGCCAGCTTCGGAAGCAGAATCATCCTTCAAAGCAATCAAGGGAATTTACATATTAATATTATATATGTTGGCTTTTGGATTATAAGCAGGTTTTTTGTTTATGTTTTTTAATATGATCGGGGGGTTATACTTAGGCTTCAATTTAAATTTTGAAGAGGTCTTATGGTCGTTTTGGACAGTTTAGGGAGTTTGTACAAGTTCAAAAGATTGTTTTGGAGTTTTCTTCTTACCCTTTAGAGATTGAAGATGCGTTGATTACAATTTACTATGTGATGGTTTCTAGGGCTAAAAGCAAGGCTTTAACAATTTTGAATTTAATTCTGACCCCAATTTTAATTTTTGATGATTCAGATTGCATGCATCATCATTAACTTGCCTCACGAAAGAATTTCTATTTGACTTAACATAAGGTAACTTTGTTTTACCTACACTATTTTAAATCATTTCAAACTATTCCAAATCATTTCAAATTATTTTCCAAGATCTACATACAGCATTGATGTCTTCGAACGTGCATCATCTTCAAAGTGGTAAGAGAAAACAACATCACGCATTTCCAACGCCTAAAGTCTTGCCCTTTGAATTACTTTAATCATGGGAACTTCTTTGCATTTTCTCTCACGATTTAGCCCCCATCATCCTCACATTGTTAGGGAATAATAACCGTACTCTTTGTTGGAAATCTGGGAGGGGTAATAAAGCTGCGTAGCAGCATTATGTAGAACGGTATACGAATGAACGTGAAAAAACTTGATAGACTAAACGAATCGCGTGATCACTTTCAGATTAAAGTTATTTCAAGGTACACCAAATTAAAATTCTTCTATTAGATAAGACGTTTATATCTAGAAGGAATATGGAAGATCTATCATTACTTAAACATACCCTGGGCTCCATATTTATAGAGCACAAACAGATCGGGCGTGTCTCTTGACCAAACAACACAACTTTACGCAAAACATTCTAATGTATTCCAACAACATTCCAATTCCAATGTCGGGAGCACTTATGTTAAACATACCATTTCAGTGGTTTTATGCACAAACCGTGACATATTATCACGAAACGCTCAAATGTTTTAGGGTAAACATTCAAATGTATAAGGTCTTTTAGTAAAGAACCTTGGAGATGAATATTGCATTCGAATGTTTAGTTTCGAATGCACATTATTTTGAACTCTATTTACGAAAATCAAAAACATTTTTGTAAAACAAAAATTTCCAAAATAAAATTTTCCCGAGCTGATTTGGCAGCTCAACGGACTCAACCCTAGCCAGAGGCCCTGCCCCTTGGGCTGTGCTAGGGCCTACCGTGCCTTGGACCCCGATACAAAATTTGTAATATCGTGGAACGAGCATGCATTCCACACCACCCAACTCGTTAACATCTATTAAAGCTCTCATCCGACCTAAGTAAATCTAATTACAGAAACTAGATGATGACACTAAAATCACCAACACAAAGCACCAACATTTTTTCTAAACATAGCAAAAAACCCTATACTTTGAAATGATTTTGCATAACACAGAAACATCTATATGTAAATTAAATCGTCAATGTTTAGTGAACTGAATAAGCAACCTGAGTTTGAAAAACATATGTTTATGGGTCAATAACATACTCCATATTATGTTCGGATGACAAACAATCAAAATTCCATGATTTTTTTATGTACGAATGAAAGGCTATGTTTAAGAAAACCTCTTAACTTTTTTTTATTTAAATTAACGCAAGAAATTACCAAAGTATTTTGCCAAATTTATTCTTTATGAATGACCTCCGCTTTTCCAAATCATTAAAAAAATATTGTACAAAATAATAATATTTTGATAATAATTACATTTTTTAAATTTGGTAATAATTACAAAAAAATACAATTTGACAATAATTTGTAAACTATTACCAATTGCTAATATTTGATCAATATTAAATTTGATGATGATTTTATAAAAATGTGAATGACCCTTTGTACTTCCAAATTACAAATCAAAAAAAATAAAAAACCATATGCCTTTTTCAGTTCAACAAAAAAACCAAAAGATTGGTAAAAAAAATTGAACAAGTGATAAAACTGGGAATGAAGATATTACAATTTCGTATTCAAAAATTTGTTTATAAAATTTCTAAAATTAGTGAATATAAGAAGATGAAAGAGAGAAGAAATATACCTTGGAATAGATACAAACACCATTGAATTGATAAAGAAGAAAGAATATTGACGGTGGATGAGAAGACTTGTGTGAAGAAGAACAAGAAGAGGAGTAGAAGTTGAAGTGTCACAGAGAGTTGATGATACAAATAGCAAAATTTGTTCTATTCCTTTGAAAGCGGCTACTTTGATTTGTCTATAAAAGGGAGATATGGAGTACTGGTATATTTGGAGATATTCAATATCTTAAGATTTCAAATTTTGAATTCTTTTTTTCTCACTAAACAATTTTTAAGATATCTCCAATATGCAAAACCATATCTTTACCCTTCACCAAATACTTGTGTGAAGAAGAGGAGGAGGTTGAAGTGCCCCGGAGAGTCGATGATATAAATGGCAAAATTTGTTCTATTCCCTTGAAAGCGGCTACTTTGATTTCGGCTATAAATGGGAGATATAAAGTACCAATATATTGAGATTTCAAATTTTGAATTCTTTTTTTTTCTCAAAAAACAATTTTTATTTAAAAAATTTGATATCTCCTGTATGCAAACTCATTCTTTACTCTCCACTAAACACGTCCTAATTTCAAAAAGTGCGTGTAAATTTTATAGAGATCGGGGCTCCCAACGTTCAATGCACACTTACAACCGGATGGATAGTATACAAACTCCGCCCCAGACCCCAATATGGTCCTTACATTGGCTGGTATATAGGTTAAGTGCAAAAACGAAACAAATAAAACAAAGCAGAGAGAAACAAGGGACATATAGTAAATTGAAAGAGCAAAAGTAACTGTGTTTCACTCCCATCCCCTTCATGCAAATTCTCTGTAGTGCATCCTCAAGAATAAGGTGTGGGGGAAGGAAAAAAAAAGAACCGATCACAATATCGAGGTGACCCGAACAGATTGATCTGCCGATCCAGTCAAAAAAATAGGCAGCGTTGGATGCCAATCCACAGTTGTTATAGATGCACTGTGAGGTAGAGTTCTCATCCCACCACCCATGCCGCGTACAACCTGATAACATAATTAATTAATTAATTATACAGAGTATGTACTAATAACAAGAGAGTTGAGTGATTCTTCATCACACCTGATAAATAGGTGCTCTTAGTGAATTCGATGAGATCAGGAGTCGATTCCCATTGCCATCTAAGGCCATTTCTTGCTTATACATCATATCACTTTGAAGGTTGCAGAACCTAAGATTGAGAAGATCAATCGGGTTATTAGTGAGTGAACTAAAAGGATTTCGTAAGATCTCCACAAAGCATGGGATGGAACAATTTTAACACCTGTTGCAATTTCTCGACCAGAGTACTCTACCTTGGTTCTGCAAACTCCACTCGAACATCTGTCATGCCACCCCGATTGGGATTGTTTAGATATTTTACAGCTTTTTATTACGTATATTATTCATAAAAGAAATATGTACTAGTTGATGACTGGAACCAGAATTGAACTCAGTCTTGCCTTTCCATCTTCACCCAGAGAGAAGATGCTTGTCTCATCAGACCCAAATAAAACAGAACTAATTGCAGAATCATGTGCTGGCCACCCAGTGATTTGCAGACCAGCAGACATATCTTTCCATTGTTAAAGTTTAAATGTCAGTACACAACGTAGCGAAATTGTTATGATTAATATCTGAGTAGGATACCAAACATATGAATCATTCCATCTGTGGCTGCTGCTGCTAAGAGCTTTCCATTGTGATTAAAACATAACGAAGTAATGGCAGGTGGATCTTCACCGAGGGGAAGGACTGTCTAAAGTTGTGAGAAAGTAAGGCTCAACAACTGTTTTCCGCAAAGCAAAAAAGATAATGAAGAAGGCCTCTTCACCAGCATTCAAATTCCTAAGACAAGCAGACACATACCATGGATTTCCATGCCCTCATGTTCCAAACTGTTAAAGAAGCATAACCTAATTTGCCGAAATACACAGAACCAGGCCTGCAAGAACATAATGATATTAGTTTTCACCTTTGCAAATGAAATCGGATAGCTACTGCCTACTGCAAAGTCAATCATTACACGATTAAACAGGGATACAATTCAGACATCAGGTGGGCAACACAAATAGTTCACAGATTGTTCCAGCAGTGGTAAGGTATTTTGTGGGATTGGCAGAAGCTGATATTTGGTTTGGCTTCTATTTCACATGTCCCGATTGCCACCAAAGCCTATCCTTCTTAGGTGAGAAGTTCAATCATACAAATGTCTCTATACATTCCTCTTCAATTTTTCATTTTACTTTTCAGCAAACAAAAGTATGGAAACTTATTCCTCAAGCATTGTATAGCTTTAATAGGAACCAAGCGATGAAATGGTAAACCTAAATTCTAAGTTAACTCTACTCCATTCCATTCCCGGATTAAATTTTATGACTTTCATTCCTTTTTTCATTCCATGAAACAGATAAACCCATATTTGAAAATATTTTTTAATACTTTATTACAGTTTTTATTACTGTATTGGACAATTCATCTCAGTTTAATTGATTTTACAGATTACGGGGGTCGTCACATACACACCCTAAAGACGTGTAGTAGGATAGGCCCATCGCCGTGTGGGTGGGTCTTCTGATGATAGTGGTTAATGATTAGAGAACATGGATTTTGGATTATACTCAGATGTTAGTTTGTATGGAAAGGCTTATTCGTTATTACAAAGTCATGCAGTGATGACACACCTAATCAACCAATGATTAACTATTGATTATTTCATGCATGCTTAATCACTGGCAAGTTGATTTTGAAATGCATTTCTGTATGAATTCGTCTATTTCCGATAATGGTAAAAGAGTCATTCTGGTAATGCTTTAGCTACAGATAAATAAAATCAAATGAGACATTGAACTTCTCCCTTCTTACTTCCTATGATATTTTGGGTAGCATATGCAGGAATGCATTAGGGGTCTTACGGAAACAAGATCTCTCTGTTTTGTTTTATAGGGGTAAGGATGCAAATATCTTCACACCCCCCCCCCCCCTAAAGACAAAAAAAGTTGGTATTATAGTGGGGTTCTTCTTCTTGTTGTTAGAGTTAAGTATTGCAGCAGCAAATCCATTTTTAAACTGGGACAGATTTTTTGACCGACATTAATCATATGCTGTTTAGAATCCCTATTTTGGGTAGGCTATTTATATATAATTTTATTAATGAAAACCAGTTTTCAATGTCGTACAGCATTTATTAAAAACTAACAACCGGAGTTTTTCCCTTAAACTATAATTCTTTTGCATCCAGATTGATTTATATCTTATTGTTCGTTGTTTTCTCTGTATCCTGTAAACATGAGAGACTAAATCATTGTAAGGTTTTGGGTTTGTTGTGAGAACTAATCTACAATAGTGTTTTAATTACTACGGTACTACCCTCATCCCAAAAAGTAGTCCTAAATTAAAAGCCATGCTATAATAAATTTGGTATGGCATAAGTGTCGAACTAACATAAATCATGAACCCAACTTACTCTCTATGTCTGGATTTAGGTGTCTATGTTCTTGTTTTTGTTTCTTCAGAATCAGTTGTCCACTTTCCATATTCAATAAAGAAATTATGATGAATTGTCTTGAATATCTTATGGATAAGGTATGAACATTGTTGATATGAATGGGTGACTAACTAATTTTTTTAGACCCATTTCCTAAAAATATGATTCTTTTAGAAAGTGAACAACTAATCCCGGATGGGGAGAGTAACTTTTTAGGTTTATTAGCATTGTTTAATGAAATAGGACAGATGAGAGTATATGGTCATATGTCTTTATTCGCCTCACTGTGTATGTGCTCATGACACATTTGCATGAAGCCTTGATCATGCCTTATGTAATTATTTCATAAGATGATAGATGATTCTGATCCAAACACTTTGCCTAGACATTCAACTTTCCCTGGCAGCCTAGGCTTTCTTTACGGCTTTACGCCGCCTATACATCACCTGACCTTGCACATAATACACCTTCCACTACTTAGAACAATGACTAAATCACAAGTGAACCCTACATTAGACAACCACATAACACTTCCAATTTTCATCATGTGATTGGAAGACTTCTACAGAACGCTGATCCTTAATTACCCTTTGATGATTCCTAGAGTTCAACAGGTTAATTTGTTTGGCTTATCATAGAAGCAATTCTTCATGCTAGGCTATATAATAATTAACTCATAACCCTTGGGTGGCTTTGAGATAACTGATTCGCATATATAAAACCATTATGCTGTTCTTTACCGATTTGTCTTCTATCTATTTCGTATATTCAGTCGTTATTTTTAATTTATTTGCTTAATTCATATCTATCTTCCTCTTATCTTAATAACTAGACCTAGAAGAGCTATTAATAGCTGTCATAAACAAATGGGGAACAAATGTTTACATAGTTTACCTTGTAGATGCTGCCGCAGACACAAAAATGGGCTCCACGGGACTACATTTTAGGTCCAGTACACTGGATAGTAGAAAAATAAATAAACAACAAATAATAAAGATAAGAGTTACCAAAGACACAAGTTTACACAAGTCTAACGGTGCTAGTAGTACAGGAGGAAGTGGAAAGACAACGAAAAAACAGTAAATGCAGGGATCATTTTAAAAACCTTGTGAATTCTGTAGTGCCTTTAAGATCACAGACAACACGCTTTGCATCAGCATTCCATGCTTTTATGCCTCCATCAGCTGTACCTATGAGGAGCTTATTTGGTGAAACATATTGCATTAAAAAAAAGGATCAGCCTTCAAGTTCCAGTAATAACATCCACACACAGCCTAGAATTAAAAACAGAAACATTATCCACACATAGCCTAAAATGAAAAACAGACATCCGCTCATATCTACCAGACGATCAGATTTGGAATCCCATTCAAGTGCCATGATTTCTGCCCCACAATAGATAGTGGCATTTCTTGATGTTGACGCCGATGATTCATATGTCCATATCCTTCACCAAAATGAAAGGGACTAACAATGAAATTATGATCAGACAATTACCAGGATATTTGCCAAACTTTCTTGTATCAGTTTACACTTCAAATGCATATATAATACATTAAGAGGCTATGTTGAGCCAACACCATCTTTTCAGTGTCTTAATTACCAACTAAGGTCATCAGTTGCATTTCTTTAACAGTTAAGCATTCTTTAATAAAGATGGGAATCCCTCTAACAAGCACCAAAATAGAGGATCCACATTAATGGAAAGTATAAAGTCCAAATGTCACATTCTTATGAAAAGCATGCACTGAGTAACAACTTAAAACACAAACCTAACCGTCCCATCCACAGAAGCGCTAGCAATGTTGTCCCCAGATGCAGAAAAGCGGCACTGTGTGATCGGACTTGTGTGGCCAAGGAATGTCTCCTACAATATTAGATTTCAGAAGCAACATTTACTAATTTTAAATTATAGTGAGAAAACATAAAAAGAGAAGAGAATGAGGGAAGAAAATAATATATTATATGCGGAATTGAAATAAACCCAAAATTTGAAAGACAAAAAAAAGGTGTTTTTCACCAAACCAATTAAAAATGAAACAAGAAAAAAAAATCAAATGCTAACAAGAGGTCCAAAGCATCATTTTTCCTCTTAAACAATTCACCTGAAAGTCTACTCTCACTTCTGGGAATTCTTCCTCTCTCTGCATTTCACTGCCCGAGTCTGTTATGAAGCTATTGGTTTGTTATGCGGCTTAAAAATAAGAGGCAAAAAAATATTTTATGTGGAGAAACTAAAATATGTATTCAGATTAATTTGTGAATTGTGTGACTGAGGTGCATTCAAAGCTATATTTGCAAAGATGGTGAGCTCGACATGAACTAAGCAACGATATCATGACGACTTAAGTGGTCAAAGTGATGTCACGGGTTAGAAGTCCTAGGATTTAAGATATTCTTAACCTCCCCCTCAAATTGGAGCATATAAATTTTTCAATCCAAGCTTGTTACAAGTTACAAATATATTCAAATATATGACCTCTAAGAGACTTGGTGTAAATGTCATCGCCTAACTTATCATCAGAAGTCTCAACAACGACAACAATCAACACATTAAAATCCCACGAACGGGGTCTATAGAGGCTAGGTGTATGCAAACCTTACCCCTACCTAAAAAGGTAGATGAGCACTTTCCGATAGACCCCCGAATAAACACGGAATCATTAACTTTATAAAAATACAGCCAGTCATCTTTGAGGTGAAACACAGGATTTCGAGCAATAAATAGAGTTGCTTGATTATCAAATATCAAAGGTTATCTGTGGTGCACTGGTATATTGTAACTCTTGAAGTAAATGCGCTAGGCCTTCAAAGTTCAAACATATATTCACGCATAGCAAGTGCTATAGCACAATGCTCGGCTGCTGCACTAGAGCGGGTAACTTCTGTGTTCTTACATTTCCAAGATATTAAGTTTTCGGCTAGAGAGAGGTCAAAGAACATCTGATATGAAACAAATTGAGAGTGTTCTTTATCTTCATAGAGAGAACCTTGTCAGTGTGTCTTGTTCAGTTGTTCATGTACTGTAGTGTTGGGAACACAGAATCTGATAAGATCTGCATCACTTATAGCAGAAGGCCACTGCAGAAATTTTAATGATATTACTCCATACTGTCTAATTGAGTTTGTTGTTGTTCTAATGAAATCACTAGTTGAGTTTGTTGTTTTAAGGAAATCACTAGTCATTAAATAAAAGGACTCTTAGGTTATTAGGAGTCCAAAAGCCATAGGTTAACCTAGTTTGTTACTCCCTCTATCCCGCAATAATATTCCACATTTTCTTTTTCATCTGTCCCAAAAAAGGCTTTGCTTTCCACTTTTAGAAAAGTTTTTGTAGCTATTATTATTTCTCTTCTCTGCACCACTTTCAATCATACAATTTCACTTTTCTTAACCTTCGTGTCCGATCAATTGTGGAACATTGTTGCGGGACGGAGGAAGTATGATTTTGTTATTTTGACCTTATCAGTTTGTATGTACAGAGTTGTTATAAATATCCCAGCCTCTCTATTTCTCAGATGTCCAGAAAATAAAATAAAATATTGTTCAATGACATTGAGATTCTCTTGGCTTCTATTCCTTTTCATCAGTGAGATTCTTATTGAGAGAAGGGAAGGAGAGGTCTATTTAGTTTTCATTTAGATCCTGAATTAATTCTAACAGGTTTCTATCAGAATTCCAATGAGTGATGGATGGAGAATCTACAAATTCTCCAAGTACGCTAACCACGCATGATGACTAATGTAACATTTTGAGTGAAGACTGATGACATAGGTAGTGTAACAACAAGAACAGCAACAAATCCAATGTAATCCCACAAGTGGGGTCCAGGGAGAGTAGAATGTACACAAATTGTTTCAGGGTGGACCTGTTTTCGATAGACCCTCCACTCAAAAGAGAACAAAGGAATAAAACCAAAGTAAGGTTATGTCCCCGGTGAACCTGAAACTAGCCAAGTCGTGTCTAATCACCTCCCCTAGTTTAGGGAAATATTTTTTTGCATTACCACGACACAATATATGAATGGTTTTGTGAAATTAGGTTTGTAATTTAGCACATATGTTTTGAAAGCATTAAACAACACTGATCACTCCTTCATAATGAAGACCCGCATACATCCAGAATAGTCATCAACAAAAAGAACATGGAAGCAACATCGTGTTGCAGAAGTGACATGAAACATGAAATGGATCCCACACACCAGTATGAACTAAATCAGATGGAGATTCAGCCTGAGTAGTGACAATTCTAGGAAAAAATTGACGGAATCGCATGTCAAGGTGTCATGATGAACACTCTACAAACTCAAGTGTAGGAAAACCTAGAGCCGCATGTTGTAGTTTAGATACCCTGGGATGTACTGATCGGTTGTCCGCAAACGTAAGAGATTAGAGGGTACTACAGTACTACACCATCAAGGGAGGAGGAATCCAATGGATTAGAGGGTGAGATGATAAATAGGAAAGCAAAAAAGAAGAGGTTTGAGGATTTTGACTTGATGTTGCTGGTTTCTCAGCAACACAACATTCTGTTTCCATAGACGGGAGAAAATAGTCAAAATATGCCTGAAGAAAATGGCATTTATGGTAGAGATGAATAACCAAAAAGGGTATACCAAAAAAGGTGAATATATGATAGATTTAGTTTATTGAAAATGTATGGTTTATATAGTTGATTGATTGCAAAGTGTAAAGTTTAAAATGTGACCAATTCATCTCAATCCAAAGTCAACTTTTGTCACTTACATAACGTTTAAATCTTGGGAAACCAAACGATATATTTATCATCTAGATTGACAGCGCTGTCCTCACCTTGATCCTCTGTTAACAAATCCCTCCTCTCACTCTTGCTCACACAAGACTTTTGAGAACAGGTAGCTCCTTGATCATCAATGTAATGAGAGGATTCTCTCTTCCCAACATTAGAAGTTGTAGGGTTACAATCATCAGATAATCTAGGTGAAGACACAGTTTGCTTATGACTACCTTCTTTTATGTTTGATGAGCTGTTCATTCAAAAGGTTAGTAACAGTAAAAGGAAGAAATTGATTCTCACATTAAAAGAAAAAAAAGTTAGTGGTCTTGAAATTCTACAAAAAACAATCATAGGATCTCTCACCTCCTTGCTTGACGTAGCTGAACCTCTTTCTCCTCTAACAAGGCCTGAAGTTGTGAAACTTTGAGATTAAGTTGCTTAATGTCTCCCTTGAGACGATTCACAGCGTTATATTCAGAACTGATCTTCAGTAATGCAGGGATGCGTAACTTGACTAAGGACAAATTCAAATACAAAAAATGAGGTAGCTGGTAAAAAGTAAAGTCCAGAGCATTCAGGTATTCATTACTAGTTGTCAGTAATCTCATGATTGGAGGCCAGACTCCAAGATTACAATGGAGCTGCCCTGGAATATGAGTAAACTGACAATGGGTCACCAGGAAAAGAGCTGACTCTTGTAAAAGAACTAATGCTCAGATTGTTGATGATTAGAGGTACTAAATATAAAGCACAATGAAGGATATAAAAACCAATGCCCAAGGATATGACTAATGTGAAGCATCTTGCTAAGAAAATTCCTGACAGATAGTTGTAAGGTATCGATCCACTCCTTAGAAAAGTAGAAACGAAATTCAGGATCCGCCTGAGGATTCTTATGATATGGGATGGCTGCACAAGTAATAAGAATTGCTAAAAGATAGGCAGAAATCACCAAAGGCACAATAAGAAGAATGACAAATAGAACCGACCAAACCACAATGCCAAATCTTGGTGTTTTTGCAGTAACTCGCTACCATGGCTATCGAAAAATTCAATCACTTTCTCCTTCTTCCCAGTTTGTAAGGCATGGATGATATAATAACGCATAATCGAGACTTCCATTTTCGATAAAGTAGACATTAGTTCAGCCTCGTATGACCCGAAACATTGTTCGAAAAAGTGGAGCAGATTCACCAAGTTCTCAGCTTGAAAATTTGGAATGTAAACTGAAAATATCAAGTCCAATAGCATATCAACTTGGAACCCTTTCCCAATATCGCTGCCTAGCTCTTTCTCATATGCCTGCAGAGTGTTTGTAAACCCTCTGAATACAAGAAACTCTCTGACTACCTCCTCCGCGTACTGCAAATTCTCCATCTTCGCCTCCAAAAACTTACAAACAAAGCTTACATTGAGTATCGCACGGTTGTGGTCTGCGTATTCCCATGTATGCTACTCCTGAGTCAGATCATGTTTAAAGGATGTTTCTCCAATGGCTCATTATCTGTCGAACCTCTAGATTTTCTAACAAAAAACCCGCACGCTCCTGTTATCGCTTCTGCGAAGGGATAACACTTGTTGTAATCACTACAGTACCATCAGCATCTATACAAGAAATTTTTTTACTCGGTAATAAACTGAGCAGATCAGTTTAATCTTATCGAGAAATTTAGGGATTAGATATGCTGACACACTGATCAGCATTGTTTTTTCATCGCCCCTGGGGCAAATTTTACTTTAGCTCTCCCCAATTTATGTTTTAACTTATTACTTAGAGAGATTTTTCTAAGACCAAAACAGAAATAGATTTAAATATAATTATATTTATATCAGATCATATCAAAATTTATTTCAATCAGATCAGGTATAGAGAACAAGTCCTAAGCCCACTATTTTTTTTGAAGTCTTTATCAGAGTAAGTTATTGAAAATAAAGCGGTTAGAGAATGAACATATTACGACTGAAAATAAACACTGCAATTAAAAGTAAACATTTTGTTGAGTTAAAATGAACATTCGTCAGGTGTCCGAAATTTACGATAGCCAGGTGTACGATATACATTCTCGATAGGAAGGTGTGGTTCCCCTCTTAAATACCTATATCATACATCCGGATGTATAGTGTTACCCGTAAATCTGCATTAATACTCATTTTCGAGTAACTGAATACTAATTTACGAGCATAACTAAATTTTAGAATTATGAGTATTCAGTTACTCGAAAATAAATAATCAGTTAATCGTAAATTTGCACTCGCCGCAAATGTATGGGATACACCGTGCAACACTTATTTCTTTCTACTAATTCATGTTTCATCAACTTTTTTTCTTTTCCATCTTTTGATGTAATTTTCTTCTTATCTCATTTTTTCACATTTTTTATATTCATTAATACATATATTTTAAATTACTCAACCTAAAAGCATAAAATAAATATTTCATTAATATTTAATTTTAAATAATAATGAAATATTTAAAATTTCATCAGATTGTCATATTGGGAGGACGACGCTGATCGGGTTATCAGATTAGAGAAAAAACATGTCCAGCTACCTTATTTCCCTGAAAATGAGTTTGTGCATTATTTGAAGAGTTGTTTTTATTGGATTCAGGGTATCCATGTATTTTGAAACATCTTTCAATAGAGTGTCCTTAGGTTTTGCAGTGTTGGCAAAAGAATTTAGATTTTCTCCTACTTGGAGTAGTACCATAGATAGGTTTATGAGAGGAATGAACTGGTGTATGTTGAACAAAAGCCATTGATGTGGAATCATGAGTGAAAGGAGCTACAGAAACACAATCTCTTTGAGGTTCATCTTGAGTTATAATCTTGTATGCTCGATTCAAACTTGGGAGAGGCCTCATCATTATGATATTTCCTCTAGCAGTTTTGAAAGAGTCATTCAATCCCATGAGAAACTATATCAAGTGTTGATCTTGAAGAATTTTGGAATAGCTACCAGCAGAGGCACATTTACAATTAGGTAAAGTTACTAAAGTAAGGTAATTATCCCAAAGGCCATTTCATCTTGGTAAAGTACTCAGATACTGAATCTAGGCCTTGAACAAGCATAACAATTTCCTTGTGCAATAGAAACAATATAGGGCCATTAGACTGATTGAATCGTTTAGATAGTTCTTCCCAAATTTCTTGTGCAGATTCACAATATAATATGTTATTCACAATATCAGACTCAACAAAATGTAGAATCCAGGAAATTGCCAACTTGTTACAACGATTCAACTGTGATAGCATATTTGAATTTGTTCCTGGTGATTTGCAGGTTCCATTCATGAAACCTAATTTGTTTTTTGCCGTCAAGGCGATTTTCGCTGCGCTCTTCCATTGGGAGAAATTTTCACTATTTAATTTCAGAGAAGCAAGAAGGAAGTTTGGAGAATTAGTCAGATTCATATATAACTCGTTGTGAATTTCAATCAAAAATCATGTACTGGAATTGGCTTCCATGATTGTGGCGAGGTGAAGATCTGAAATGAGGAAAATCTGAGATGATTTTTCAGATCGAAAATCAGAGATGATTTTTCCGATAAAAAATCAGAGACGATTTTTCTGATCATCTTCAAGCTTTGATACCATGATAATTTTGATTGAAAATCGAAGAGAAAGAAAGAGAAAGCATAACCGAAAGTGAAAGTTCATTTCATTCTGTTCTCTTGCTTACAAAGCAAAATATCCGAAGTACTATATACAGATGGAAGAAAGGAAAAACAACACGTGCAAAGTAAAGAAAGTAAAACAGAATTAGTTAGAGGGAGTTGGATGCACAACTGGCACCTTAGACACGTGTCTTCACAGATGACAAGGTTTGAATTGTCCAGATAGGCATAGATTTAACCACTTCAATTCCTTGTTCTGGAGAACGGAAATAATATCAGTTTAAAAGTCTCTTTTGCAATACCATTATTGCATAATGTTTGATAAATCCTATTGAAAAGTAACATGTGGTCCCTTAGGTCTTTTTCTTTCAAACAACCAAGAGAATTAGTATCGATGAATTAATCAAGGTGGAATTATTTTCAAAAAGGTGTAGTACCTTGAGAAATAATATGAAATCTTAATCAATATAATCAAGCATCAATGTTTGTAGAACAATAATGTTTTTGTTACTTTGATCCTAGAGCCGATTATACTAAAATTTAGTTTTACTTAGAGCATTGACAATGGCAAGGCAAAAATGAAATGACACAAGGTGACACAGATTATTTCAACCAATAAAAAGTAACCCAGTCACCGTGTGGCAAATGAGTGGAGTGTCGTAACATACAGTGGCAAATCGTTGTTTTTGTCTAATTTTGCACTTTTTAATGATTTTTAATTACAAAAAATTATTTTAAAAATCTATTTTATTATTAAAATATGTTTACTTCTTTTAAAAAATATTTTAAAAATATTAAAAAAAATAAAAAATGAGAGAGTCATCACTACAAAAAAATGCGGCATTGGCACGGCATTTGGCACGAACGGTAGTATAAAATATCCATGATTTTCTGTGTTGGCACAGAAATTTGGCACGGACGGTGGAGCTGCCAATTACGGGGCTCCAAAAACATTGGCAAAAGATCCCGTCCGTGCCTAAAATTTGGCACGACGTTTAGCACAGAAGCGTCGTTCCAACCTAACGCCACTAATAGTTTAACGTTTAAGTTATTGGCATGGCGCAGACCGTGCATCAGTCTGTGCCTAATTTAGCACGGACAGGTGGCACGATACTTTCCGTGCCATAATTTTTTTCAAATTTGAAAATTAAAAGAGGCGCCAATACCTCAAATTCGGATATTGAAAATTTCAAATTTTAATTTTGGCACGGCCTATATCCGTGCCATTAGTTTGACTTCTAAATAGTGTTTTTATGAATATTTTAATTGCACGTTATTTAAATTGATTTGGCCCGATAAATATCCGTGCCTAATGTTACAAAAATTAAAAATAATACTTTTTTTAAAATTTTGAAGAAATAAATAAAATCAAATTAATCTATTAAACAAACACATAAATATAACTAAACATTAAAACATGTTAAGCATCACAATAAAAAACATGTTCAACATCACAAAAAATAATATGTTCTACATCATAATAAAAAACACAAACACCACATGCAAATAATCTTCAACTGGGTCGGAACCACGACTCCGCTCCTTTTTTCACAAAAAACCTGTTAATAATATTCAACTGGGCCGGAACCACTTTATCCTCCACCTCCTACAAAATATTTAATTTACTTCAAACTAACGGAATAACCAAAAAACAGAAGTATTTGAAACACAAAATAATTTACTTACCATCTTTTTCACATGCTCCCTGACTGAGCGGCGACCACTGTAGTATTGCCTCTGTTTAGCCTTCTCTGTTATTGCTCGACTTCTCGCTCTTGAATTTCTTTTGAGGCTGTTGTGTATGTATGCCATGGTCCATGAAAATTTCCCTTAATTATGAGTTTAATTGAGTCTAACACAGGCTGAGTCCTATATAGTTTAATTCGAAAAAAATAATCACACATTTAGATGATATAAAAAATTAAATATATTGAGAATAAAAGTTAAACATATTGAGAATGTTAAAAAATTAAATATACCCTTTAGTTCTGAAATAGTGATGCATCGTGGAAGGCCCTCATATTGAGAATCATTGACCATTCCTCTAACCTCGCCTTGGGACTCGCCTCGTGCCTGGAATATCGGCTGCGGCGTAGTCCCCGTTGATGGAGACTTTGGAGGGGCTCGAGATTCATTTGTATTGCGAAAGCTTCCTCTTCCCCAAATGCTTCCGCGGAAGCTTGTACTCCGTGTAGAAGACATTTGCAAAAATTGTGATTGACGTACTTGGAAAAAAGTGGGGATGACGCTTGCCGGCGACCGGAGTAGTCTAAGAACGAAAAAAATGGAGGGTTGATGGCGAAAGAGAAGGGTTTTTTGGATGGTGGCGTTGGTTAGAGGAGGGTTTTTGGACGACTAGGGGAGCAAAGAAGAAAAAGTTGATCCGGGCTTTATATATTTTCTTGGTTGGCACGACGGTAGGCACGGACGAGGCGTGCCAAAAGCTAATCCCATTAAATCCGGTTGTCAGAAGATGCAGTATGTTGTCAAGGATATGTATAGGCATGGCTATAGGCACGGCGTTTACCGTGCCAATGTTGATTTGCAATCATGCCACTGCAAACACCTATATATGTGCACTCCCTATATGATTAATTTTTACTCAAAATAAAGTATTATCTCATGATTATTTTAATTCATCTTATTTGAATATTTGTATACAAATAAAAAATAAAAATTACATATTTAAAAACTGTTGGACAATGTGCTATCATGAATATATATTTTTGCAATGTCCTTTTGCCCATTGTCTTTTAGGTTTTGATAATGACAAAAGGGTGACAAAACATCATCATCATTTTGTGCATCAAGGCTAAGAATCAAAGCTACAACAAGTTCATATCCGTCCGTGAAGAAGGGACTTGAGCATCGGTGAAAGGAACGAAACTGAAGAGGTTGTTTCCTTAGTTGGGTAGTGTTTTAGGTCTTAGATTATGTGTTAAAGAGTATGGCATCTCTAAGGTTCATTCCCTTATCATCCTAGTATCCTACCTTTAAAACACATTTTAGATAAGCCTTTGTGTG